GGCTTTCAGTTCCTCGGGTTCCTTTGGAATTTTTTGAATTTTTGCCAACTTGCGAGGAGCAACACAAGCGGCAGCAACTGCAACTGTTTCCTGTTTAGCTGGTAGTGTTGCTGCTTGTGTTGTTGCTGGTGTTGCCGCTGCCGCTGCTGCTACTTTTAATGACTCCTCTACAACTTGTTCAGCTGCTCCTGCTGTTGTTGACGATGCCGTCGAGTTTATTACCAACGAAGTAGCCGTCGTCGTTGTTGCTGTTGCTGTTGAATTTATAATTGCCGGCTGTTGTTGCTGCTGCTGCTGCTGATGTTGCTGCTGCTGGTTTGCTAGCGCTGCGGCTCCACCTTCTGGTATGATTGTTGCAAAAATTTGTTCGCCAAATATGAAAAGATCCTTGGAAATAATCATTATCACCTTTTTGTGGACGCTTTAGCTCGCTGTTGTTGCTGTTGCCGCCACAGTTTAAATATACGTACGTGTGTATTGGGGATTTTAAATGTAAATCTTGTTTAAATATGTATATATACGCGTGTGTATATTACTTTTTGTTCGCCTGTTGCCTGCACTCGCCTTAAACACGTTTCCTTTATTTTAATGCATTAAACATATTTCGTGGCTGTTGGGACTTGGGTTTTTGGGGATTTCTTTAAAATTTCATAATTCCCTGGCTTTGTCTGGCTCCTTATTTCTCTTATCTTCTCGAATTTATGGCAGACTGTAATACAATAAAAGCAGAAAAGAGTATAGGAATAATTAATATGATTGCCAGTAGTTATATAAATTTAAAGAAAATATAAAAAAATTCGTCAATATCAATACGATTTTTAAAGACAATAAAGTTATTACTTTGATTTTATATGATGTTTGTCCTAACTGCTGTAAATATTTCTTTTAATTTTGCTTTTTCTAACGAAACATTCAAATGAGAACAAATTTTATGAAAAGTAAGGCAAGCCATGATTTAATGTATATTAAGTTCGAAAAAACTTTATTTGGTTGAAGCCAGCAAAAATGGTAAAAAGGTAATGAGTGTATATATCACTTTAATTTATTACACTACACTATTCAAAAAATGCAGAATTTAACTTTAACCCCGGATAAACTCACAGAAAATTAAGGCTTATTTTACTTATTTTCAATGCATTTCGGATGCAATTGTTTATGGTGCTAAGGTTTCGCACCAAATTATTCACTTCAATTTAAGGTAAACTCAAAAAATTTTCCAATATTAGTAATACAATTTTATGAGTTTTAACTTCAAAAATGTTTTTCTAGACTTCACGGCATCTGCTCCTAAATGTTTATTCCTCTTGGCAAATTTTTCAACAATTTCCTTTATGCACTGACGCCGAAACAGAAAAAGATAATGAAACAGAATCGGGGAGAATCAGGGAGACAAATCGATGGCAAGACACAATGCGAATTTTGTTATATTTGTCAATTAGCCCGCGCGAAACAAAGCGGCAGAGCAAAACGTCAGATTTCATTTGGTGCAATTTCAATGTGTTTGAATAAAATATAAGGCAAAAGAAAATAATAAAAACAACGCACCCAAGAAGCAACGGAACTTATTAAAATTCTTCGTTTCCTTTTCGAATATGATATTAAAAATCGTCAGCACTTTTTTTGCAATTCAAATAATTTATTTTTTTTGTTTTATTCAATAAACATATGTAGGTTTCTTGTAAACATTTTTGATAACACACGAGTAATATTTTTTTTGTGGGGGAGGATTTTTGGAGGGGTTTTTGTGTAAAGCCGAACCGAAAAGACGAACAAATCGAACGAATGGAGAAACACGTAGAAACGTAAAATGTTGGAAGAACACGACGAAAACCAGAGAGCTATAGATTCTGCTATAGGCTATCCACACAACGGCGCGCTTGAGCATTGAAGAAAACATCCAACGGCGCCCGATTTCGATCTCGTACTGATCGCTAAACCGCTCCAAACGCCGCTGTCTCTGCCGGCGTCTCTGCCGCCATGAATGACATTCATTCTCGTTCTCTCCCGCTCACTCGCGCTCTCCCGCTCTTGACGCCTACGATTCGCACGTGCGTGTGCCGCTTACACCAAAATAAATTTTAAAAAATATTTAAGGCTGCTATCTTAAATACAAATATTTAGTAAAATAATAAATTGTTGGCAAAGAGTATTGGAGGTTGAAAAACCTTTTTCGCTACTTACCGCAATAATTCCAATAAAATTTTAAATTTATAAATCTGCGTGCAGTGGATTTTCAAAAAAATTAATTTATAAAATAGAAATTAAAATGCTATAATATAATTGCTTTATAATTTAGTGCCTTAGCTGTTACAAGAATTTATCTTGATTGAGTGAAAAAGGTCTCCAGATTTTTTTCAATGTACTCTCTTCGCAGCCTTTCTCGGCTTCTCTCTTTTTATTACATGAATGTTAAGTTATCATTGCTAACATTGTATTACAAATGTTATCGGCTTACAGCAAGATCATTCCATGTTAGCAGTCTACAGTTTGATACTACTCATTGACAAATAATTAAAATAAAAAAGTGTGTGTGTGGTTGATCTCCAATTTCGACTTGGCGATAGAAATTTAAGGTCTTGATTGGCAACCCAGAAGTCATTCAACAAGTTTAAAGACGTTTTTAGAGTAGCGAATGGTTTCTCGACGATTTTATGTTTAGCGCAAAACCGAATCGTTTGACTCATTTGTGATTGGGTATTGTAAAGTGATTACCATTTTATAGGAAAAATTGTTGTTGAAACAAAAGGTTTCTAGAATGTATTGAAAGGGTTTTTAGAATTAATGGGACAAATAATGGTTACAATTATTTGTTCTATTTTATAAAGTTTGCTTTACAGGCAAAGGCTGTTAATAAGCCACCATTTGAAAATAAAATAAGTTAAAGGCTCTGAAGTGGTTCCACTTTCATTAAAAATTCTTTTTGACTCTTCTCAGCAAATTTTAACTTTCAACTCTTATCAGTCATTAAACTCGCCGTCGGTAACCGCTGCGTATACGCAATATGAATGCGTATACGTACAGTGTGTGTGTGTGCAATTTGCGGATATATATATGTATGTGTTATACATATGTGGGTGGAAAAGGAGGAAGAAGAAAGAGAGAGGGAGAAGGGATTGCAATTAGAACTTGGAACGGTAATAAAACCATATTAAGTGCTGCTGTGTCGTTGACCAAATCAAATGGAAAATAACACACATTTGAAAATTAGGCCTAAATAATGATGATGTTTCAGTTTGGGGGGAAATAATTAAGTTTATTATGTTGCCATAAACTTAAAGCGAATACAAGTCGGCAAGTTGACGGATTTGTTGTTGCAGTCGCTCTTTTTTTTCGTTTTCGCTGCGTATCTCTTTGCTCTCTATAAAAAAATATTTTTTCCTGTTGCTGTGTTGGTGGTCGCGTTGATGTTGTTTTTTATTTGTACGCACAATGTGCAAAATGTGCGAGACACATATACTGGTACAAATTCACGCACACGCACTTGCTCTTAACCTTGAAAAATAACACAGCATTTTGTTTTTGTTCTCGGTTTCTGACAGCTTTCTTTTTGTTTTTGGTTTCCGCCGAGTTTCGGTTTTTACTGTACTTTGTTTTTTTTTGTTCTTTGTTCTCCTACTGATAAGATTCTTATTTTCTTTCTTTCTTTTTTCCCATTTTTGCTCTTTTGGTGAGTGCGTAAGTGCGTGCTGTCGACTTTTTCGTCGTGTGCGTGAGCATACAACAAATATTGAATTTCTAGACAAATTTTATTAAGCAAATTGCTGGGAACGTATATATTTTGTTGCTATTCCATTTTTTATTTTTCTTGTTTTGGCGAAAATCTTTATTAATTTAGTTTCTCTGTGAAAATTTGGTTCACAGCTGTATTCAAAATAATAGTAACTTATGTCAAAACAAGTTATAAAAATATAAATGTGCTATATTTTTCTTATAAAGTTTACAAATTAATATAATTTGGTTAACTTTCTTAAAATCTTAATCTCAATTATGATTCTCGCAAAACACAATTTTATTATTAAAAGAGAATACTACTTTTCACTTCCCATACAAAGTTTGTTGAACTTTTGTTATAAAACCGCTTAATCAAGGATTAAGTTTATTAAGACCCATTATAAAAATTGTATTTCATAATGGGCTCTCACCACTTAAATATATACACGTATGTACATATATACAAGTATATTTATGACTTATTTCTTAGTTAATTGAGTTACCTATTTTCTTACATGCCGTGCCAGTTGAAACGCATTCGGAATTTCACAAATTGTTCCTGATTTTTATTCGGTTTAATGAACTTGAACTCTTATCAGTCAGTCAGGTTGCCATTTGTTGATATAGCCCAGAGGAGAGCTGTAATGCAACAAAAGAAGCGACACAAACAAAGTCGGTGATCTTACTCATTCGGCGTCATGTGAATTTCTTGTAGGCTTTTGAACTTGGTCGAGTTTGGCAATAAAACAGAGCAATGGAAAGTGGGTCAAAGCCCTTTATGACTTCCAGTTGCACTTCGTGGCTTGAAGGAAAACTCAAAATCATAAAACTCTATCTACTATTCTATTCTACTATCATGATTATTTTTTTTAAATAATGTTATCCATACTGTCAAAGAAAATTCCCTTTATTGGCTTCAAAAGGTTTTATCTCCACTTTACTCAAATTTTATACATTTATTTTTTACCTGTGAAAAAATGTGGACCGATCCAATTTGGTTTTAACATGACATGCCTAAAAGTATGCACATACTTTTTTTGTTTTTTTTTTCTTATAATTAAGAACTTTGGTTTTAACATACATATATTCCAATTTCTACAGAGTTTCATATATTGATTTAACTGATATTCATAAAATCATGGAAATGTAGCACACTTAGCGTTAAATCGGGAGAACCCCTTAATGCGTGTCAATTTTACATTTTTAAAAAGGTGTTTTATAAAATGAATCAAATTTACCTTATTTATTTGAGAGATCAGGTGTTCACCGAAAAATCAATTCCTACATAAATATTGTTCTCGCAGTGTTAAAAACGCCTCCCGTTTGAGCACACACATTTCCATTACACATTTATCACAATTATTTTAAAGAAGTATTCCACGTTTTCAAATCTTTTACTAATATTTTAATCATGATTTCCTCCATGCTGGATACGCCTATTGCCTCCATCTACGACATGATGGTGGAGCGCCATCTTAAGCTGCGCCGTGAATCAGAATTAAAGGAGGCCGGGAAAGGTACTAGTAAGTTGACGCGCAGACTAAAAGAAGAACGTTCAATCGCCGAGGAGAAGAAGGCACCCATTAAATCCAAGTCCAACCAGATGAAGATGCCCTCATTATATAGGCGGGAATGCGACTCTCCACCACCGGCAAACGCGATCACTGCTGCACACCTGACCAAAAAACAGACTGCCTTGATGGTTCAGCCGCCGTCGGAGAAAGAAGTGATTAAGAAACTGGTCGAGAAGATTTCGAAGGGGCGCGTCAGGTCCAAGCCCGAATCCAGTGACCCAAAGTCAAGCAAGACGAAGCTGGTGGTCAGTGGTCGGCGTAGGAAGATGGTGGCCCAAAGATCACTTTCCAGCAAACAGAAGCTGGCCAAATCGAACTCCTCTCAGATGAAGAGCTTGCCCCTTTCTCCAAGAAACGAAGAACGTGGCCCGAAGGATGTAAAGCCGCAGGCCAAAACGCCAAAGATGAAAACGTCAAAGACTTCGGAGAAGAAGACGCGTCTACAAGTGCACAGCTCCAAGGTATTAGATCCCTCCGGCAAGGCAACAGGATCTCGTACTAATCGCTGGCGTGTCTAAAACTACTTGAAATGATTGGCTAATATGTATATGGAACGTAGTCCTTGTTCCATTGCTATTACATAAATTTACACTTAGTAATCGAAGGATTAAAGCAGGGATCTCTTACGTGAAGAACTTCACTTATCTCACATGAAGGCGATCAAAATTGTGAATGTGCTTCCGTATAGCTTTATCTAGTTTATATAAATAAATAAGAGAATACCAGCTTATATGGTTAAACTAAATTCATTTCCTGAAAAAGCAAATATGTATCATTTAAAGTAAATAAAATTAAATAATTAACGACACAATATAAATCTGAAAGAACCTGCTAAAGGGATGCTAAAATTTTATTTTCATATTGATGCAATAATTAAAACAATATTTTTTTTTATTTTTATTTATTTGGTTTAGTAATAAATTAGAATTTCCATTACTGCAGCTTAACATTTGGTTTCTTATTCTTGTATGTTCTGTTATTAAGCCTAACTTGTGACACAAATTTTAAGACAATTTTGCGACGGCCCAAAATAATTTGACAAGAATTAGTTTTTAGTGTGGGATTAACCAACTTTTAAATTTGCATAGCTTAGATCTAAATTTTGTTACTTAAATATTCTGGTTTAATTTAACTTCCGATTCAATTCGCACAAGTTCTTGTTTTTCCTTTTCCTTTAGCTTTTGTTTTGTTTATCTTTGCTCTGTTAATTTAAAATGCAACTACTACTGACTAACAATACTTGGCCATATATATAGTACATATATATAGTGTATATAGAGTATGCAATTATTGGTTTTAATCTTGCCTTGAAATTTCTGTTTTCTGTTTTTTGTATTGGTATCGGTATCGTCTGTAAACGGGCGCCAAAAATGGGTACGGGTAAAGAGTTAGGAGGAGTTATACAAAATAACGAAAACATTGCTCACAATTGTTTCGATTGGTTTTACAAAAATATTGTACACAATAAATATTTTGTATAATCGTTTTTATCAAATTTCCTCTAGCCAAGGACTGGCAATTATATCATAGTTCAATATTAACCATATACTCTGCAGTTTGCCAGTTTTGCGCTTGCTTGACATATAAATGAATTTTCTAAAACAAAAATTCAGGGCGCTCTCGCTTGATTTGTTTCTGTTTTTGGTATGTTGTGAGATATAAAATACTTGAGAAATTTGTAGATACATTTGTATAAAGCAAAGCCAAGCAAACAGGTGCTGCACGTAAATGCCGTGGTAAAAACAAAAACAATTGCTCTAATCTAACTAAAATGCAGCTACTTACGATTTAAATTACACTGCGCTATTCTTACAGTTAAAACATAATCATAAATATGTATAAATGACAAATTGGTTTTGTGTCCTCCAATTCTCTTATGTGTTGGGTTTGTGACTAAATTTTAGGTGAATTTTAAATTCAATTTCAGAATTTTTGGTGGCTTTGCTCTTGGCCCAAGACATTGCTTTGGGTGTTTTGCTAGCTTGTCGAAGACAATTGGATTGGATTAATTTTACTTGCACAACATGTTGCCTAATTTATTTAACTGCTAGCGTACAATGATTTCAGCCAAAGTTCTTTCAGTCTGAAAAACAAAAAATATTTGAGTAAAACGGGTTAACGACAAACTTATGTTGTTCTACAGAGAAGCAACCAAAATACAAATTAGTCAAACATAAAAAGTGTTAGTTGAAAGCGAATCAGTACTTTCTACATAGGTAAATACAAAATAAAAATTACTTACAAAAATAAATAAGTTTGTGATTTTGTGTGGTGCCTCAGGAATTAGTTTCACTATTCCTCTCTCTCTCTCTGAATATTTAAATTTTGTTTAGCGGATAGACCAAAAAGATTTTTAATACAATTTCATTCAGTTTCTTAAAAGCATTCAATAAAATGTGCTGGCCTTGAGTTTGTTCTACGGAATACAAAACTTATCTCTAAAGAAATGTTAACTCTGGTTGAGAAAGATGTCGGCATTCAATAGTAAAGCTTGTATTTAAATATTTGAATTTTCAACAATTATCTCATCAGTCAGTGCCAGAGAAAACATTTCTTAAACAGAGAAAAAAACATGCAAAAATTTTTGGGGTTTGTGTATTGCTAACTAAGAGATCAGTAACAAATGCCCGCTGGTGCAGTGCGTTTCAAAACTTTCAGACAGTTTAATCATACTTTCAAATCTGACCACTCTTCTCATTTAAAAGTTATTCGAAATTAAAGTTCACTTCTTGTGTGTGGTAATTTCAAGAAGAAATTTAATTACCAAATGCAAAGATATACAATCGAATGATAACATAAACATGGTGGAAACAAAAGGAACATAAAAATGCTGATTAAATATTTAAATAAGAAAATAGGAATAGGAAATAGGTTTCAGAAAAAAATCTGTCTTTATCCTTACTTCTCTACAACTGCCCTGCATTATGAAACGCACTGCGTGTATACATGTGTGTGGTTGTGAGTGTTAAAGTTACAATTAGTTATCGCTTGTTGTTTGCTGAAGTCACTGCTCACTGCTGTTATTCACCGTCTAATGAGATGCTTAGAATTCTGTGTGCACCGCCATCGACATCGACTCAATGCTCTTACGCAGCTGGCCATCGTTGTAGATCTTTTCGCAGACAATGCTCACCTTTTTCAGTAGCTCGATGGCAGTTTGCAGCACCTGTTGCCACTTGTGGAGCTCGTTTTCATGCGCCATCTCCTGGTCGCGCAGCATTTGTAGCCATTCCTGATTCGTGCTCGGAAGCTCACTGAAATGGGGAATCGTCCATTTAAATATTATTAAGTCAGCTATGAATACGAGTATAGACCTACCTCAAGGCCGCCAAACTGGGCAGGCGGGCCCGCCGATTGAGATCCACGTCAATCCGTTCCTCCAGCTTCCAGAGCTTAAGTAATAATATCACATTTAATGCCAGCATCAAGCATAGCAATAGTATAACCAACAACCACAAGCCCTTGTGTCTGAATCTGTGACCCTGTGGCCCGTGTCCCGTCGCCAGTGCCTGGCCGTCGCCGCCGCCCAGGTGCAACTGCTGCTGCTGGTGGTGCTGCTTGTGCGGCTGCAGGTGGTGCTGGTGGTGGAGCTGCTGTTGTTTGCCGCCCTCGAGCAGCAGCGGGTGACCGGCGGAGGCGCCGACTGCTGCACCAGCGACGCCGCCCGTGGACAGCATTTGGGCCTCCAAAGTATCTCCGGCTGGGGCCGGGCCGACTACCTCCTCCAGAGGGCGAATTTGCGTGGCAGTACCTGCGGAGAAACGGGGACGAGCGTCGAGAGGAATGGCAAATGGCACGGTTAGAAATCAAACCATTCGAACGGAAAAATCGAAATAAACAAAAGCAAGAGACGGTGCAGGCAACATAATCACAACATTAAGAGTACAACAGAATATCGATAGCTAATAAATAAATCAAACTGAAATAATAAAGCAAGTGGGTTATGTTCATGAAAGGCTAGCAATTGTCTCAAGATTCCATAGTTTGAAAGAAATGCAAAGAATTATACAAGACTTGTCAAGGCGAAAAAAGTTAGCAATACCAGTAGATAAATTTTTATAAACAGAAGAACGTTTCCCAGGAAACAAAATTCTAACGAATAATTTATTAATCGCCATAATTAATTTTTATAAATTCCCTTTGATTGATTATTTAGAATTTGAGCAATGCACAATGAATTTCCGAATTAGCTGAAGCTTGAATGAACTTATGAAAGAAACTGGTCATATTTATGATGCCACAGTTTAAAAAATGACGAAGTCTTATCGAGGCTTGATAAAGCAATTAAAAGTAATCATTACAAGTAGAACAAATAATTCGATTAATAAAAGGAAGCATTCCAAAAAGAAGTTAAATTCATGGGTTTATGAATCGCTACTTGGTCATATCAGCTATAGATCATAAATCTTTGAGACTGCCTAATAAATTGATAACTATTATATTGAACTTTGATACCTAAATCCCATGTAAACTTTTAATTATTAAACGGATACGCTGTTTTTAATGAAGCTTTATCTTTTAAAAAACAAGTACTAAATAATATTATATTTAGCTGAACAAATAGATTTTGACTTCAATTATAGCTCTGCCTCTTGCTTTAAAGGTGCCATTATTTCTTGTCTGCTTTTGCGTGTTAGATAAGTAACGAAACCTAATATCTTTAACTGATAAGCTAACAACCGTTTTAACTCCTGTCCAAGTAAAAGGCTCAGATAAATGGTACCCAAAACAAATTCAGATTTGTATAAACAAAATTTAGAGTTTACAGGTGCAAATCTGATTAGATTAACAAATACAACCGATTAAACGATCGCTTCTTTCAAAAACCCTTGCCAAGTATTTTAAAATTTGATGTATATGTATCTGGGCCAAGCCAAGTTCCCCCGTGCCAATTGCTGAGCTAAAAGGATCAAATTACTCAAGCTGTACCTCTGCTCGACGGAAGTATAGCCTTACGGTGATGCCAATGAGGATGCTGATGGTGATGGGATAGCGGAGGCTGATGATGGTGCGAGTGCCTGGGATCGTGGTGATGATGCTGGCTACCGTGGTGATGGTGGTGATGATGGTGCATGTGCAGATGCTGGTGCTGATGATGCTCGTTCTGCTGATGACGCGTCTCTTGAATGCTGTCATTGTCCGTACTGGTCGCTGTGTGGAGAGCACCTGTTGTGGTGGTCGATGTTGAGGTGGCGGATTGTTGATTCATGCCTGAGATGTATGTTGGTTGTAGCTGGTTGTGGCTTTTGGTTTTTAACATGTTGTTGATGTTTAGTTGTGGACATGCGTGCGTTTTTTTGTATGGTTAGAAGAAGCAATGGCAATTGGCATTGGCAGTTATCGAATTTGAATTCTGATTGAGTAATTCCATTACAAGATTAGAGAGAAATTGCTTTGCTTTGTTGCTGTATTTGTTGTTCTTGTTGTTGTGGTTGTTGCATTGTAGTTAATTGGTTACAGTGGCCTAAGTTGCGATGCTTACCTCTCCTCGGTCTGCGACCCTTTCCCTTGGCAGGTGGAATGCAGGTCTCGCTCTGAAGCGCATGCAACTGTGCTCCGAAGAAGTCCTCCAGGCCTGCCCACGTATTCTTCTCGATGAAGCCCTTGACAACGCCCCAGACCGACTTCTTGTACTTGATCTGGGTATGAATCGACAGCATAGTGTGATCATCAACAGTTCTAAAAAATTGAATCCAAATAGCCAATTAGAAAAGTTCACGAGGAGATGACAAAGTGACACCTATGCATTTATTATCAAGGAGCTCTTGTCATCGCCGATTCTAGGAAGGATGACTCACCTGGCCAGGCAGAAGTGTATGAGCACGCTGAAACTGTCCGCGTATGGAATGCCTGCATTAAGACTATTTACGTCTATGGAATACAGTTCACCCGGCTTGCTGCATTCCCTTTGCGTCTGGTACTCGGTTACCTAAGGGGGAATCAATACGTGCATTTGGCAGTCAGTTTATTTGTTCGTTTCCATTTCAAACACCGATGCACATTCACCTTTGAGGTCTTGGGTCCCACAGAGGCGGCCAATTGAACGGTGACGTTTACGGTGCGCACTTGAAGACCCTCCTCGTTCTTGGTCCATTCGCCCAATACCAGATCCGTTGACTTGCGCGTGGCGTGGAAGTCAGTAATAAATTTCGACTTGCTGAACAGCAAATTGAACAAGGTGTCCACGTTGATGGGCAGAATGGTATGGACGATCTGGCGACCCTCATGTGTCGAGGTGCACTCTGTAGTGGGCACAAATCTAAGCAGAACATGAAATGGAAATTTATATAATAAATATCTTTGAACTAGTCATTTGTTTTTACATGCAACTTACGGCAAATTATTCTCTTCGGAATCCGACGAGTCAGAGACATCTGTGGGCACACTCTCGGCAGCATTTTTGCAATCATCGCGTTGTCGATGAGTTTTTCCCATTTTGCGTTTGGTTTCCAGCTTAGATTCTGTGGCTGGAACCGCGGAAGTGGCAGTGGCCAAGGATGAGGAGGCTGCCGCTGCTGCAACGGCGGCCGAGTTTGAAGTCGTGCTGACCTTCTTCTCCACACTCTTCTTGTCGCCGCCACTGCCGCTAGCTGGAGCCGTATTGGAACCCGATAGCGATCCCGATCCAGAGCCAGAGCCCGTAAGGTTGGCAATGGTGGAAGAGGAGGCTGTGGTGGAGCCGGCGGTGCTGCTGCTGCTGGCGGTGGGAGCGCCCATGGTGACGCTCACCGAAAGCTCCGTCGGCTTTACGGAGCTGAGGATCAGCTCCTTTGCATTCTGCTTCATCTTCTTGTTCAGTTTGCGCGAGCTCTCCCTGGTCTTATTGTTATCCGATCCGCTGGCCGAGGCGTTGGCCGAGGATTTGGAGGAGTTGAAGAAGTATTTCGTTTTGGACTTGCGTGGAGCAGAGGCTCGAACGCCGCCGCCGCTGCTGGCGCTGCTGTTGCCGCTCTGGGGCAGCTGGGGATTCGACTGGTTGGATTGGTTCGACTGCTGCGACTGGCGCTGCGACTGGCTATCCTCATCGATGGCCGTATGGAAGTCAAAGTCTGTCTCGTTGTCGTTGTCCACCGTGGGATCTATGTAGTCCTCGTCGTCGGTGGTCAGGCCCAGCTCCTCGCCGTAGCAGGTGTGCACATGCTTCCAAATCTCTTGCGGCGAGAACTGTTTGTTCATCAGCGTGTTCTGCCAGACGCGAAAGAGCATCAAGAAGCTTTTGTCGCGAGAAGTGAACGTGGCAAAGAAGTACTTGTCCTTGCCGCTAGCTATTGAAATGGCATTGGGTATCACCAGAGCTGTCTTCTCCTTGGTTATGGCCGTCACATCCTTCCACTTAATGCTCACGTAGGTCTCCCAGCTGAAGATGTTCGCATGGAAGCAGACGTAGTTCTGCGACACATACAGGCGGCCCTGGACCAGAATGTCGCGTTGCAGGGCACACGAGTAGTCTGCGGAAGAAGATAATCACTTGAGTAAATTGCTTCAATTAGGGTTTATTTCATCAGCGGGCATTCATTAATGTTTACACGTCATTTAGTTTATCGAATGTGACAAGTAACATTTTAGAGTTTAACTAAAACTAAAATATAGTTTTATTAACTGAAGGTCCCTTTCTTAAATTTTCAAAACAATTTTTTTAAAATTTCATTTCAGATTTATTGACTTACGACATGAATAGTAAAACTACTTTTTCAAAAATATTAAATGATTTTTAGTCAATTTTATTGCTCATTATTGCCTAAATGGTGCAGTGAACAGACTTACTCGTGAATCATAAATATTTAGAGAATTAATGGGTTACCTAATAAGAATTATATTTCTTAATTTCACTCTTTCTCTACGTGATTGGGTTTATAGATTTATTAAAATTAATATTTATCAAATCAATAAGCTTATCGGAGTGACTAATGTTATTATTGTCGGCTGTTCTCCCCTACTCACCCACAATCAGGCGCTCATCGTTGGGCACGTCCTTGAAGAGCTTCTTGAAGTCCTCGGCCCGTGACTTGTAGTTAGGATAGATAACGTTGTACCAGGACTTCTTCTTGGCCCGCTCCGAAAGCCGCGATGGCTTGGCCGGCTTCTCGTTGGAGGTGGAGCTGCTGCTGGTCACCTGTTGATCCCGGTCGACGCGCAGCAGGCTCAGCTCGTGCTGGGTGAGATCGCTCAGCCGGTGCTGTGAGACGTCCTGCTGAGAGACAAGCGAGAGGGAGAGTTGATCAAACACCATGAGGATTTCCATTTGTTGCGGACTGCGGTGGCGTGAACAAACATTTTAGCTCTAAATTGTTAGCACCAGCAGCTCGATATCGTTGCCTTTGACTTTTTTTGGCCACCTGTTCGTACCAGCGATGTGTTTGTTAACTTTTTTTTCGGGTGAGTCACGCCTTTTCGTAGGAAAGTCTCTTTGGCCAGGTGTTTGGTTTTACTTCTTATCACACCACACGCTTGTCGTTCGTTTACGACCCCCAATTATTTACACAAAGTTCGCTGCAATGCTCGTTATTAGTTTGTTGTTTTTTTTGGTATTCGCATTTGGTTGGTGAGACGCTTCGTCGCTTATTGAAGTCTAATTTGCCATTGCCAGCCGGGCGAACGTCAATGGAGGAGCTCCGCACACGAAACGTTATCAATAATGGATGAATAGAAAAAGCTTGGGCCCGAAAAAATTTATGTCGCGAGCTTTCGCATTGAAGGGTGATTCTAATCAGCTGCCCCTCGAAGGGTGAGAGGGTTATTAAATACTCACATATGCTTCTTATCAGCCAGAGATTAAATCGAGCTTTCAGATGGCCACTATGAGGCCATTAATCCCAATAGCCCATGCCTATCTGTCGTCCCAACTATCTATCTATTCAGCATTCTGTATGTCAATCGCCTGATCGATTGATCGCTCGTTCGAGTGTATTTAATTTGATTTGAACACTTAGCTGCGGCAATTTCACACCTTTTCGGGGTGTGTGTTGTGGCTAATGGTTAAAATCAACAAACTGCGGATTTGGAAACCTTGCCTAGCTTTTCCTCAGAAATAATTTTGTTGACTAGCCCTTCCTAATCATACAGATATGAAAACGGGTTGGAAATTTATTCGTTTGCACTTGAAATGTTTTTGTGAAGAAATCATCTTTATAGCAATGAGCAATGATCAACACCAGCAAATAGTAAATCGGAAAAACTAACCATCACAGGTTATCAATTCGAGTACATGAACTTTTCAACAATTGAATTCCAAAAAAGACTGTTTTTAAATAATATATAATAATCGCATTTGAAAAACTATAATTAAATTGGTAAACCCCTTAAAATTGTATTGATAGAATAACGCTATTTATTGTCTATTCAATCAAAATATTAAAAATATTCACAGGCACAAAAGTCACTCCCTACTTTGTTCGAACCCTCGAATACCTACCTCAAACACTTAATTTTGGACCCATAAAAATAAGGTATATTGCGAAAATCAATTAAATTACCCATAAGTGACGTGATTTTTTAAATTTATACATTTGATCAGGAATACGTAACGAAATAGGTTTAACGAACGCATTAACTTGATTTGTAATGTCATTGGTTATAGATCTTTTGAAATATCATGCTAACAGGTCCCAAATAAAATGTCGTCACCACAAAAAGCGTTGTGGTCTATATCGCAAAACTTTTAACGATAATATAGTCTAGAAAAAGTGCGACATTTTAATCAAAAATTTGTGCTATTCATATCTCATTGTTACTAAAAGACTAACCCAACGATCACGTTATGACACATTCCCTAAAAAACGTGATGAAAATATTCTAAGAAAATTGCTTAGATAATTAGCGATAGGCATCTGATTAAAAAGATATGTTTTTGTCATATAATATTTTGTGTGCCACCCAATGATCTGCTGGTTGATTCTATCCGATGGCAATCTTTTACTCACCTCATCGTGACCGCTGCTGGATAGCTTCGCCTGGCTGGCCTTGCCCTTCGAGCTGGTGGAGTTCTTCCGGCTGGAGGGACTGTCGGTGCCGGAGCCACCAGGAGCAGTAAATCCGTTGGAGTCGACGCTCTGCGACTGCTGTGACTGCTCCCGGTTCGTCTCGCTGGACACAATATTTATGCTTGGCGTGGCTCCTGGCGCTGCTGTGTTGTTGCTGGCGATGGAACTGGAGCCAGGACTAGTGGAAGTGGCGGCCTGGTTTAAACTAAGATTGCTGCCGTTGGACTCATTGGCACCTGGGACTCCGGCTGGTGGCGATCCGCCGACTGTTGTGGAAGCGTTCTGTTTGGAGGACGTCGATATGGAAATGCTGCTCTGTTCGAGACTGCCAGCTGCTTCCTGAATGGTCAGGAGTTTGTTGCTCAAACTGCTGTTTGTGGTGCTCGTGATCGTGATCTCCTCGGTGATCGAATCGCGCCTGTAATGGTAAGGGGGTACATTTTAAAACCAACTCAACTGGATCCTCCAACAACATCTACTTTGATTAAATGGAAAAACTCTTGAACTAGGCATGCAAATTTGGAAGGAATGAAGAATTCTCTTACGGAATTGGACCAAGGCCTTGCTGGAGAGTTTCCGGAGCACTGATCCCACCTACCTGTCGCCACCATTGCTACCAGCTATCGGCTCCGCCTGCTCCTCCACCGGCTGCGATTGCTGCTGGGGATTCTGGGTATTCTCTGGATTATCCTGCGCCTGCTGGCACTGTGACGGCGATTGTGACTGTGGCTGGAGCTGGGATTGTGTCTGTAACTGTGACTGGAGCTGATCGGGCTGGGTGTTCTCGGGTATCATGTTGGCATTGGCAGGGGTCTTACTAATGCTTGGACTTTCGGCAGTCGTACCGGATATGGTTACACTTGATGTTGTTGGGTTGTTTATATCATTATCTTTAATCCTACAATAAAATGCATATATAAACAAATCAAAAGAACAAATGCCAAAAGAAAACACATGCCCAAGACGACGAAACAACAGGAGCAACTAAATAAATCTTATATATCCAACAAAATACTTAGGATCATTAAAACCACAGGAAAGGAGATTGGGGAAGGTCAGAAATGACAATTTAAAAACTATTTGTAAAATATTATTAAAGTTTTAATTGGATGATCTAGGCAGGCCTCTACAAATTAACATTTTCCCACAACAATTGAGTATAAACTATTTGACTGGTTCAATTTAGAGCAATGGTTTTAGTGAAAGATAATACCCAGAGTTTTATTACAATTGCAATATATCTATGAAATGAGGCTAGGATAAAAAAATTGGTATCCAAAGAAGTCGATCTAAGACCATCACATATTAAAACCCATGTTCAATTAGCAACAAATATATCAACCTACTTGAAATATCAAGAAAATCATAGCAACTAGATTATAATGCATTATAGAAATTTGTTCCAAGTAAATCAGATAAAGAATCAACGACAGGTGGCTCCACTTCAATTTATAACCACCCATATTATTAATTATATCAAGTTGATAAAGGTTAATATGTTCTTTCAAAGTTAAACAGGTCTAGAATATTTTTTTCGTTGGTGCATAAATATAGGAAGGAATATTGCAAAAATTTAAAAACTTTAAGAATTAGTTACAAATACAACTTTATGACATATTTTACGTTTATAAATAATAGTTCAACTTTATTCTGAGTTTAAATTTTATGTAATATACTTAAGGACGAACTGTAGAAAAACGTACTATATATTTTAAACTATCACAGTTACTTTATATATTATAAGTAGTTTCCAACCAACTTGATGTGATATCAAAGTCTTTGTATACGGCTGCCATTATAAACCATTTTCAAGAGTTCAACGGCTAATCCTGGCAACGCTTCTGGCAATTCACAAAGAACCATTATTGTTTCCGCAACAGCAATTAGTCACCGCTTTTGATAAGGGGTCCCCTGATGGTTAATGGGAAGTCCTATCGACAACTGTCAATTGGCTTGTTAGGAAGACATTGCCGCCTTAACTGATCGGCGGTGGCCTAAGTAATTTCGCTTAAAATTAATTTCTTTTAATTGTTTGCCCCGACGATAGCACACAATCACCCACACAAAATAAAAACGGATAGTTTTCGAGGCCCTTGAGAGAGCTAAGATCTTTCCATACCAGACGACCCGTTGTTTCCGACTTTTTCGCAACGTTCGCCGCAACATTTTTGACGCGTGTATATATATTATTTTCAATTAGACGTGCTCTCGCCTCAGTGAGCTGCGACGGAATGGTGTACCAATTGCCATTAAACGATTGTAATCAATTCTATTGTGCACTACTCTTCTACCCGGTGTGGGCGTGTATGTGTTGTGCCACACAATTGTTATTATTTTGAATATATATATTCTTATATTCGAATACTAGCAGCCACTCTGTTTGGCACTGATAAGAACGATAAGATATTCCCAGCTTTGAGATAAAGCGTTTAACGGTCAGGGAAAAGCACTATTCCTATGTATTTGTTCAAACAAAGGCTAAAACGATTTAACCCAGTTTCTTTATCTGAGTTAGGACTGAAAACAGTTTAACATATTAATTTTTTTTGCTAAATTCGTACACCATTTTTTAGCAAAACATCTGTTTATTAAAGAACGACTGCACTCGGAAACTATAAAATAATATACATATATGCAAATTACGCCATGAGAAAATCAGCTTTATGACTTTTTAAGCTTTTTAAGTTCCCGAGTACTTTGGAAGAAGTTGTAATACAACTGAATTTTGATAATCGCCATAAAGATAATAAGCCTTATCCAACATTTTTACATCAAGGGCAAAAAAGTCTAGTGCCTGCTTCTTAATATATAAATACGAGTTTCCGCTTCTCTCACTAATCGTTCAAATGTATAAATATCGACCCCCAAGGGTCTGTGAAATTCAACTCAAACCTGCTTATCACACAGTTGAGTTCAAGTTCATGAAAAATATACATATTTGATAGGTTGAAAAGCATTCGAAACACATTGCGAATCTGGTAAACAAAAATGAGTGGAGTACAAACGACGATTCGTCCTCATTAAATGACTACGTATTTATAATTGCTAAGAGTTAAACGTGTGAAAGATCAGAGATAATGTAATGGCTTATAATTTGTATATAGAATTTATATTATGTGCTTATGAGATCAGAAGTTGTGTCGTCTATCTGAGATAAGACTAACAAAGTTCTTGGCTTAACCAATGGATTTTAGCTTTTAAGAATGAAATAACTCATTAAAAAGTATTTCATCCACACACGATAACAAACTTGGAAAATTCTGTGGTTGATACTTATATGCATACATTAAAGAAACATGCCCATATATTTCCGTAACCCCCAGGAAACAATTTGCAACAACGGCGTTTGGATAATGTCTACACATACCCCCTTAATTGACGTTGTTTGCTGAGAAAGATATCTGCGAAAGTGGGAAACATCAGAGATAAATTACTCGTGATTCAATGCTATTTATAGTTTCAACAAACGTCATTTTCGTTAATTAAGAAAGATAATATATGTACTAGGCATCTTTTCGGAGGGTGGATACGTCAATTAGCGCTGGTTGGCAAAATAAAAATAGGCTTTTGTTTATAGTTTAAGCACAACAAACCATAAATTTGTTTGATTTACTCGGATCATTTCCAGGAATTTTCGAATAAAGTATACATTTTGTTATGCAACTTATTACCTACTTTCTATTGTTTTATAAAATGACTGAACAAAACTTAGTGCAACTTTATAAAAGGCTTGCTAATCAATGGGAAATATCTTTCTAAATTCTACGCAATTACTGATATACTGTGTATCAATTATTTGTACGGACTGCAAATTATCATTGCGAATGAAATTGCACAGCCTGAATAATAGATATTTCTCCGTCGTAGGGGCGGTAACCCCCTTGAACTTTGGCCTTTGGGGGTCACAAAGTGCTCCATTAGTCATGGGAGCCGGATTTCAAATGCATTTCCGACATGAAAGGCCACTGGCCATAAAACTAACTAGCGCATTACCTGCTCAAGAAAACCACTTTAGCCAGAGTTCGTAATTGTTCTATTACCAACATAGAAACCACTAAACCACTTAAACTCGGAGAAAAATCAATAGTGAAGAGCGAAAAAGTATTACATTTTCTTTCGCTTGGCTTTCTTTGGTTCCACATTCAGTGTTTTCCTCGGCGGCTTCTTTATTTCCTCCCTCGGCATTGGTTTGCTGTTTGTATTGTTCAACCAAAATCTATGTCATCGCTGAAAAACAGCCGAAAAAGTGGCCAAAAGTGGCAAAGACCAGAATCGGTCACCGCGAAAAACTGATGACGAAACGTAAACACAGCAGAAATAATTTGTATTTTTAGCACTGTTTGTCGAAATGTCATTAATTTATGAACTATCCCACACAGTCTACCGTTTTGCGCTCTTAATTATTTAATTAATTTTCCATGTTCAGTGTCGCAGTTTTGTTCTTTTTGTTGATTGTCATTTGTTTGTAGGTTTGTTTAAGGCACGCGATGGCGATATATACAACTGAGAATCGAGAAACGGGAGCTCGTGCCGGGCACGTCATCCCAGCTCGACGTTCCGATTTGCACTCAAGAGCAGCCGCCGAGAGAAAGGCTATTCCCCTGGTTTTGTTTTTGCTTGGGGTTGGAAAATCGGACCGAGATATAGGAGACCACTGCATACGCTAGCCGTATTTTTCAGCCGTTTATTTACAGACCATATAAATGCCTAAAGGCCCCCAAAGACAAGGCACAAGCCGCCCACCTTAAGGCTATGCAAATGCACACCTAAAGTGGATAACCTCCTGGAGGGGCGATTCCAATTACAAATACCAGCCAAGGCTAATCGAAAATTGTTTTTCTTTTTGTTGGCTCACGAGGAAAACGCTTGAGTGCACAAAACACAAATTGTACATTTTGCTGGGTATATATAATATAAATTCAGTTGGTGGATGAGACGATAAAACTTTTGTAACAGTTGTAAAATGTGGAAATCCTTTAAAATTGCTCAATTATTGCCTTACTGAATGTAACTTATTTTTATGGCAAATTGAAAAATGATCACTGAATCAAAACTAACTTAAATGATTGGTTTAACAACTTAGTTTTGACTGCATCCAGTTAAGCCAGGAATTTTATTGTACCAATGAACTTTTTCTCAACGGCTAATAAATAAAAAGCACTTTAAAATGATGAATGAATTTGGATCTTTATGGCTTGTTGTTAGTTAAATGCGAGGTAATTTAAGAAAAGCCTTTCCACAGCGTTACATTTTCTAGGGTATCAAAGTGTGAGGAATTCTTTAATTCGAAGAACTTCCTCTTTATCTCCCCTAACTTATTTCCATTTGTTATTTATTTTCGCTTAAATTCGATAAACTTTTTTGAAAGCGGAAAACTTCCACTTGCTATTTAAATAAGAAATGGTTTGGTTTACTTGTTATCTTTTAATTTAACAATATTTCTAAATTTTGAGTTCATTCCCTAAATTAACTGATAACCACAGCAGTACGATGATAACCCAGACACATTCGCTGACTTGCTGCAGTCAAGAAGTTAAATACTCTTTGTTTACTGATTGTGTACGTAGGATTTGAATAGCCTCAAAATCGATATCCTAAAGCGCCTTACAACGACGAACCGCCCTGTACCTTTCCATTTTCCGAGGCAACTGTTGCGCAATAATCGCAAAATGCTATCAAAATGCAAGGAGTAAGAGGTGTGGGGCAATTAGACTGGGGCAACCCGTATTATCACTCTGGTGACACGAGTGGCCAGATTTGGGAGGGGTGTTAACGGGTAGATAAACTAAAACTGAAAGGAACAAAGAGGAGCTATAACAGACATGCAATATTACTAGCAACGGGTTAAACATGCAAACCAGCGGGCAATCCTACACCAGAAATGAACACGTTTAACTCTTAGGTTTCTTTTACACACAAGGAAATAAGATCAAGAATGTGTTCGAAATGTTTAAGCTAAGTAGACTTTAAAACTGTTTTTAACTTGAATTTATAGCTTTTCTATTATGGAAATTTTTAAATATGATTTATCAACTTAAACAGAAATAGCTCATAAAATGACTCATAAAATTTAAATGTCTTTGGGGTTTTTTGAAATTTAATTATTAGTTTTCTCAATAAATTTAATTAAATGTTAATGTTTTATCCCCATATTTGACTTGAAAAATGTTATTTTCAAGTAGTTTGTCAAAAAATGTATCCAAATGATTAACACAATTTATAATTACTATACAAAATTTGGAGCACAATTACAAAAATCTCAAGAGCAGATCATTGAGATATTATTTGAAAATTATTATTCTTAATGTGCTCATAATCTATTCGTACTGAGTCGGACAATAAGAATTTGTAAGTACAATTTCGAAACACTCGCCTTTTTCACCAAATTTCTTTCTGTGTAAAGCGATAAAACTTTAGATATTTCATTAGTATGTATATATGTATCTATGCATATTGGGTAGGGGGCGTGTCAACTCACATGGGCGTAACATTTAAGCTGGCGGTGCGTTTGTGCTTGCCCTGCGAGGACGAAGGACGATGGAAGAAGCTGTGGGCGGTGGCCAAGGTCTTGGGCAGAGCACCCTGGCTGGAGGACTTGCGCAGGGACACAAAGCGAGATCCTGCTCCCGATCCCGGTCCCGATCCCGATCCAGATCCTGAACACGAGGAACTCGAGGCCAGCGAGGAACTCGACGAGGAGGTGGACTTGTGCTGCTGGTGGTGCTGCTGTTGTGCCCGCTGCTGTGTGACAAAATGCATGACAACGGCACTCGCTGCCGCTCCTGTTTTCTTGCCGTCTATAATTTCTTTTCTTTTTGATTTTGTTTATCGCATCACCCCTGCTATTTGTTTATTTTATCTATTTCTTTTATGTGGCACTTGCTGACGTCTGCGGAAGTTGCTTTTTGTTAGGTTTTTGGGATCGCATATATAAGGAAAATCACTGTCACTTTTCGCTTTTCCACGGTTTTTCAGTTTGTGCAAGAGTAAATGCTGTTTTTGTAATTTAAATGAATGAGATTCTTATGTTAATTCGGGCCTTTCGTCAGCCCACCGAGCGAATTCTTCACTTTTTTTGCGCATAAAAGGTATACGTTGCGAACAGGGTTGCTAGATGTGCCGATTGCTAGACGCCGCTGTAAACAGCCGGGTGATTTTACTCCGTTACCCCATCAAAACACAGGTAAATATCGTACCTTTTAGTGCCTTAATTTTAATTATTTCCCCCTTCTCTTTTTCAGTGAATAAAATGTGTATATAAATTACGCGTAATGGTCGGGGCCATGGCAACCCAGAAATAAATATCGATATATGAAGAATATCGACATCCCAGAAAACAGCTGTTCAGGGCTACCATCTCATTCCTTTGAAAATGCATAGCGTGGTCACACTTATTACCGACAATTTTTAAATTTACATTTTAAAAATGTTTGTCGTATAATATAAAATAGGTTTCAAATCTTTAAACAAATAGATAAGCTCAATTAAATACATGATAACAGATAAGTGCTTACATCTTACATTACCTCCAGGGACTGTAATATAAATTTGGTGTTAAAAATGTTAATTTCCGCCAACAGGTTGAGTATTCCTAAAAAGACCCTGAATCCAGATAGCATTACAACCATTTTGGCAATGATAAATTTTATGAATTACAATAAAGACTTACCGAATCGAATCTTAAATTAAATATAATTTGGGCGGTTATATGACCTTTAAAAGATTTTCAAGTGAAGTTAATTTGCGATTGAAATCGCATTGCCATTTTAATTGAATAGTATTGTCGATGAGTATAAATGTTATACATAATGTTAAATGTAAGTTATCGCGACATTCACTTTAAATTTATTATTTTGTAAAAATTAATAAGTTTAACTAATACCCACAACCCGGTTGTTTTGGTCGAGAACAGAATTTAGTAGTGTCTGTTTTACCCTCGCTTAAAACAAGGCCATTATAGACACTTTCCGGGATGAGCTGGATCGCTGAAATTCCCAGTCATTTCAGCCTCCTCGGAGTCTGCAATCAGAAATACGGCGATTACCATAAATATTCTGAGGCATCTTTATGCCTCTTCAATATAGTTACATACTTCTAAAAGATATTCTAATTTTTCCTTCCTTGCTCAGTATCAGTTCAATTCTCAAAAGAATCATTTTTCCGAAGCCAAATGAATACATAAGTATAAAATATTACATTGTTAAATAAATAAATATATAGAGCTTTCCTCGGTCTTAATGGAGTTGATATTCCTCCGACTTGATTTTCTTGAAATGCGATGTTAAAGCTCATAAATAAATTCATATATTTATATTCGTTTGTAATAATAAAATTGATCCTACTCTGAACAGCAGGCGGGATACTTAGCTTTCGGTGCCTTGTTTTTTCCGGACTTTAGGGAGTGGGGAGGACAGCTAAATTGTTAAATTATTTAAAATTTTTTTAGTTATAATCTAACACACTTAAACTCACTTTCGCCTCATTATTGCACTATTAAATGTGCACAACACCTCTTCACACCTTTTTGGGTGGGTTATACTTCGACCACGCCACATGATTATCCCATCGACGACACAATGGTAGTAGTGGTTTGGATCCCTATAGACACCCACGGAAACGGAAGCCCGAGATCCTGAACTCATGATAACAATGACCACTAAAAAGACGACGATCTGACGACACATCTAAAATATAACTCGGTCTGAAAAGGCAGGCAGTTCTGAAATAAAACAAGCTTTCTTTATGGACGGCTGGTGCTAAAAAGCTTTCTTTATATTGCAGCTGATGTCAGCTATGTAACTCCCCAGTATATATTTTATGAATCTTCAACTATAACGTCAAATGAGGGAGGTGGGATTTTGAATGCCTTTTTAAATCTGAGGTTATAGCTTTACCTACGCCAGTGACATAAGCATCACGTTTTCTTTATTGGATAATAAATTTAAAAAGCAATTTTAAAATCATTTGTTTGAAATTCTTTTATTTAAAGAGTCATTAGAAAAAGCATTGCAAGTTATAAGAAAGTTAAAGAAAATATAAAGTTATTATCTGAATAGCCTACCATATTATAAAGGAAGCAGTCTTGGGCTGCTGTGCCTTGCAAATATAGGGATTCAGAACTGAGCAGTCCTTGTCATTCAATCCAAAAGTCAGTGCTCGTTTTTTCAGTATTATTTGGCTCTTCTGGAAACCACAGATCTGAAGACACTGGTTGTCCATTCGAAAACCACACATGGTTATCTTGCTTCACCAAGTCTGTGCCAGCGGTCCAATAAATAATAATGAATTTATTTATATGTGTGTCTGTTAGATATTGACTTATTAATTTTAATTCCGCTAAGCTTTCAAACGAGATTAACTCTGCATCCAATCGTCGACAAGATTCGTATCCAATATCCATGCATCTAAATAAGATTAAAATGAATTATTTGATTATTATAATTTTATTTACTTAAAAATGTGAAACTCACTCATGGATCGTAGCTGTGCTATTTTCTCATCGTTTTGGGTGGTTTACAGTTTTACAGGCGCCTAAAAAAAGGCCCTCCAGGACACACTTTCCAGGATGGGCAGGCTCCTTGAAGATTCCAGTGTTAAAAATGTGCCTCGCTTTCCGAAATCAGGAGAACCGCGACCACCAAAAATACTCCAATGGCTAGACGCATCTTGAAGGCTTCAAATGACAAGTTTGACTAACAGTCTCAGCCAATTCTGAGACTTATAAAGCCTTAACAGTTGATAAAAAATCTTAGCTTCGAAAAAAATATTATTGCTACGGTCAGTCAATAAGTAATTATATTAGTACGCTAATGAAGCGAAACGGGAGAGGCCTTCGTTTGTCACATTGCTAATGAAATATTGAAAAAAGTCAAACATTTTTAAAACATTTCCAGCCATGTCCGTCTGTCCGTCCGATTCTACGCAAACTAGTCCTTCAGTTTGAAGCTCTTTGGATAAAACTTTTCAAAAAGTCTTCTTTCTGTTAGATGTATGTTATTATATAAGTCGGAACGGGCCGGAACATCCTAACCGAGCACATCCACATCCCCAAGGTGACCTGGGCGAAGTGAAGTGCCAGCACTCGTAACTTAACGTGAAACGTGAAATATTAAATGTGTCTTGATATTCTTCTAGTGATAACTAAGCCTGAAGTGAAAAATAAGATGCTGATATTTTATATGATGATTGCATAACGCTCTTCATTTTCATAAATAAATTTTAAAATTTTTAAAGTTTTTCACCAGTATTTTCCGTCTAGATTTCACGGTTTACATTTATTAACTTGTGTGAAATTTTGAACATATCAAAATCGCCATTATCCGCGTATAACTTCACGTTCACAGCAGGCGGGATAATCACCGTTTGGAGCTATGTACTTTCCGAATTTTTGGCCTGGGAAGAGTGCATAGACACCGCACCTAAATAAGATTAAAATAAATTATTTACATATCTTATATTAACTTAAAAAGGTGAAACTTACGAATGGATCTGAGCTGAGCTATTTGCTTCGCACATAATTTGCTCGCATTTTTTCGGGTTGCGGGCACTTTTACCGGCGTCCAAAATAAGGCCATGCAGGACACACTTTCCAGGATGGGCAGGGTCCTTGAAGATTCCACGGGAAACCGCTGTCTCGCTTTCCGAAATCAGGAGAACCGCGACGACCAAAAATATTCCGATGGCTAGACGCATCTTGATGCCTTTAAATGACAAATTTGACTGACAGTCTCACTGAATTCTGAGACTTATAAAGCCTTATCGGCAGATCAAAAAGGTCGGGCACAGCTCCAATCTTAGCTTCGAAAAAAATGTTATTGCTACGGTCAGTCAAGAAATAATGGTATTAGTACGCTAATTAAGCGAAACGAGAGAGGCATTCGGATTGCTAATGAAATATTGAACAATTTCAAACATTTCAAAGTATTTAACGATCTGTTTGTTTTTCTTCACATCTATGTGAAATCATATGTATGTTTGACGATTAGTTTTTTAATGTCTATGTAAAATACATAAAAAGTAAATGAAGTGTAATTACAATAAGGAGCCATTAAATATAATTACACGCTGATTAACATTAAAGTCATTTCTCAATATATACAAAATTCCATCAAACAAAAAGTCAAAAGTTTGCAAAAGTTAAGATTAGAAACAGTAGGAACTTAATGTAGAAATGAGACAGAAATCAGTTTTTGACAAATTGAATGATTAATACTGATAATTAAATCCAAACCATTTAAAAGAAAAAAATAACTTACCTGTGCGATTTGCATTTTTAAAAATAGGCTGATTAGGAGATATCGATAGTCGCAACCATGCCTTTGTGTCACCGCTAGTTCTCTCTGGTTGTAAACAGAAACAGGGAACGATTCAGACCAACTCAGTAGTTTCATTCGTCCCGAAGGATCACCGTAACTATGTCCGACGAGTACGCTTGCGTGGCTAAAGGCAAACTCAAGCTTAAGAACGACTCGGACCTCAAGAAGAAAAAAAAGAAGCATAAGAGCAAGGACAAGGAGCTTCAAAAGTCGTACGTGGAGCAGCAACTGGCGGAGACGGCCACCACCACGTCCTCTGGCGTTAGTGGCTACGAACGCAAGCTCACCAAGGCAGAGCTGGCCAGCAAGAAGCAGCAGGAGAAGATGCGCAATAAGCGGATCATGGACAAGGCACAGACTACTCACAAAGAGCGCGTGGAGAAGTTCAATGAGCATTTGGACACCCTAACCGAGCACTTCGACATCCCCAAGGTGTCCTGGACGAAGTGAGGAGACAGCACTCGTAACTTAAAGCATACATTTATTATTAGGTTAAGTAATTTCGACTATGTTGTGACCTGGGGCGCGGGAAAAGTGAGAGGGAGGCCAAAATAAACAATCCGGATGGCACAACTAAGCTAAATACACACGACATATGTAGTTACAACGTATAGAGGGGTAGTTTCCAACTTTCAGTCCAGTGTCCTCGGAGAACTTTTGATTAATCTCCTAGCGTAGTGCAATCAGCTCAAACATGGCGTACTTCCAAGTCCAAGAGCGCACTAGCTGTTCAAATCTATCTCGCTCGTGCTCGTAGATGTAGCCCAACTCAGGTTCCATGCAGACCTCGGTGTAGGGATCGGTCAGAAGGCTCTGTACCGAAAGCAGCACCTTGGCCACGTTCAGCGCCAGCGACCAGTTGTGCTGCTGGAAGATGTCGATGCCCACGTCGCCATGTCGCGACACATTCGGGTGCAGGATTTTGGTTAGGAAGCGCACGGTGGGTGGCGTCATCGGATAGCGCTCCGGAAAGTAGATAAACAGGAAGAATTTTCCGCCCTCGTAGGGACTGCCCGGTGGCCCCAGGATCGTGGCTTGCCAATAGTTGTTCTGTCGATCCAACGGTATTGCCGAAATTCCTTCTGAATCGTAGCTGTTCAGCAAATTAGCCTCGCCGCGCAGGAAGTTGTTGCGCATCGCGTTTCCCGGCTCCCGCTCGACCAGTTGTTGATCTGCCTGCTGCGCCCCCTGACCTCGTCCACCCATCTCAATCAGGCAGGTGCGACAGAAGCAGGAGGACATCAGCGCCCCGTACAGCCGGTACCAGTTGGGATTGTCCGCCAAGCTCTCGAACAGCGGCCAGCGCTGCTTGATATACGCCTTCCACATGCTCTGAGCCGTGTTCTTCCCAACGATGTCGTGCCACTGCTTGCACACCTCACTGGCCATCCACAGCGACATGTCGTCCAGATAGGCGAATATCTTCAGCATCACCTCGACGGGTATTATGTTTACGATGTTTCTGCTACTGCCGCTTGCTCCGCTTCCGCCGGCGGCGTTGTATTCATGGACTCGCGCCCGTCCATCGGCCAATTCATGCATATAATGGGGCAGGGCCAATGGTGCCGTGGCCCGGGGTCTCTTGATGGGCAGCAAAAACGGATTGACAGCCCGCTCTTGCTCAAAGTCGCGCTCCGGAGACTCCCGTCGTGGTGGCGCCGCTTCGGGCGCCTGCTGGGGCAGATCAAGGACTGGCTGGGCTGGCTGTTGCTCCTGTGGTTCCATGGGTGGCTCAGGAATCGGGTTTTGTGGATTGGCCGGCGGTGGTTGAGGGTCCTCTAGATCCTCGAACCCCATGATGTCCACGTCGTTTTCGGTCTCCTCGTCCTCCTGCTTGTCCTTGAACGGAGGCTCGTCGTTCCCAGAGTCCTCGTCGTCTGATAGCTCGGTCAGGAGCTCCTCGGCACGCTGGGCGTTGTAGAGGAAGGCGTGGCAGGCGCCGCACAAGGGCTCCCCAAAGTTGGGGCCATAGTAGCCGTTACACACCCAGCAGGTATTGCTATTCTGTAAATTTGAAAGGTAAAGTCGCTACATCCATTTATCTACAGAAAAAAGTGGCTTCTTGTATACACACCGAAAAAGAGAACGTCGGCTCTGGCAGCTGCAATTTGTCCTGGTCTGGATCGTCCGGGTCGTCCATCTCGTCGCCGCTGCTGCTGGCTAGTTCCCTCGCCAACTGCTCCTGGTCCTTTTGCTGCTGCGCTGGCACGCAGCTAGTCATTTTTATCAAGAACTCTCGAGAAACTGGTGCGAAAACAAAAACTTTGTGGCTGCTAGTGTGACCAGCGCGTACTGGCTTTAAAAAACCAGCCCATAGCGCTGGTACCCAGATTCGGGCGTCCATCTCTAAGAGCATCGGTCGATAACCAAAACAAAACAGCTGCGACGTCACACGTGCAATTTATGTGAAATTCATTTAGAAAATGAAGCCAAAAAAGAAGCTGGGCAAGTTAGAAGCTAGAAAATAATCATCTCAACACCTCCTAAACTGTCCTTTTATTTCAGGTGTGGGCCTAAGCCGGGAGGAGCGTCAGGTGCTTGTTATCGGGGAGATTATCCAGGAGCTGCTTCGGGCGCATGAAGCCAAGAAGGATGTAAACCTCAACAGGATGAAGTCCTTGGTCTCCTCCAAATACGGACTGGACAGCTCGCCCCGACTGGTGGACATTATTGCAGCCGTGCCGCAGGACGCTAAAAAGATCCTGCTCCCGAAGCTGAGGGCGAAGCCCATTCGTACAGCTAGTGGCGTAAGTCGAGTCTTTAATATCAAAGTTAATTATAAAAATATTCTTAGAACTATGTCCTGTTACTCTTGGTTTATCGGGTTATTCAGATTAAATCATATTGCAGTATTTAATCTTTTTATTTCCTAATCCTTTACTTCCTTATGAGCACATTTAATGGTTTCACCGCCATAATTAGCTGTTCAATAGGACTAGAACACCTTGCTGGTGTATCCTATGACAGACAGCCCAATCCGTTCCTTACTAATAACCATGTTCAATCGCATTACCTTAGATCGCGGTAGTGGCCGTCATGTGTAAGCCGCATCGCTGTCCGCACATCAACATGACGGGCAACATCTGCGTCTACTGTCCCGGCGGACCGGACAGCGACTTCGAGTACTCCACGCAGTCGTACACGGGGTATGAGCCTACCTCGATGCGGGCAATTCGGGCGCGATACGATCCCTTCCTGCAGACCCGCCACCGCGTCGAGCAGCTTAAGCAATTGGGCCACAGCGTTGACAAGGTGGAGTTCATCGTAATGGGCGGCACGTTTATGTGCCTGCCGGAGGAGTACCGCGACTATTTTATCCGCAACCTGCACGATGCCCTCTCCGGACACAGCAGTGCCAATGTGGCGGAGGCCGTGCGCTACTCGGAAAAGTCACGCACCAAGTGCATCGGCATCACCATAGAGACACGGCCAGACTACTGTCTCAAGCGGCATATATCGGATATGCTCAACTATGGGTGCACCCGTCTGGAGATCGGCGTGCAATCGGTTTACGAGGACGTGGCCAGGGACACGAATCGGGGGCACACGGTGCGGGCTGTGTGCGAAAGCTTCCAGCTGGGCAAGGATGCCGGCTATAAGATTGTGGCGCACATGATGCCCGACCTGCCAAACGTGGACTTTGAGCGCGACATCGAGCAGTTCATCGAGTACTTTGAAAATCCGGCCTTCCGCTCCGACGGGCTTAAGATCTATCCGACACTCGTCATACGCGGAACCGGCCTCTATGAGCTGTGGAAGACCGGACGCTACAAGTCCTATCCGCCTTCGATGCTTGTGGACCTGGTAGCCAAGATTCTAGCCCTTGTTCCACCTTGGACCCGAGTCTACCGCGTACAGCGCGACATTCCCATGCCGCTGGTTAGGTGAGTTGACCAGAATGGAATAATTTTATGAGTCTAATATATTTATTTCTTTTAGTTCCGGCGTAGAGCACGGCAATCTCCGCGAGCTGGCTTTGGCCCGCATGAAGGATCTGGGGACTACGTGTCGAGACGTTAGGACACGCGAGGTTGGCATTCAGGAAATTCACAACAAGGTACGCCCTTATGAAATCGAGCTAATACGCCGAGATTATGTGGCAAACGGCGGGTGGGAAACGTTCCTCTCATACGAAGATCCCGAGCAGGACATCCTCGTCGGACTTCTCAGGCTGCGCAAATGCTCGCCGGACACCTTCCGCCCGGAGTTAAAGGGTGCTTGCTCTATTGTGCGCGAACTCCATGTATATGGCTCTGTGGTGCCGGTTAATGCGCGTGATCCCACAAAGTTCCAGCACCAGGGCTTTGGTATGCTGCTGATGGAGGAAGCTGAGCGAATTTCTCGCGAGGAGCACGGCAGCACCAAGTTGGCAGTCATATCGGGAGTGGGCACCAGAAACTACTACCGCAAGCTAGGATACGAACTGGACGGGCCCTACATGTCTAAAAGCATAGCCTAATAGGAATACAGTATCTTTTCTGATGGGCTTTAAATAAATAAATTAAATATAAAATTGACTACGTTGATATTGCTTGATGGATTAAACATTTTTATTTTATCACGCTAGGAGCAGTAAGATTTTGCTACTTAAAACTACGGCTTTAAATATATACATTAATATATAGAGTGAATCGATTTATTGGCTAAAAATCATTGTCTTCAAGTTTTTGGCTTTATCATTTCTAGGTCGTCAATCGTATATAAGAAATAAAATGACTAAATAATTAATGCTTAGCAACAAAAATAATCTAATTTTGTCCTGCATTGTTAAAGTCATATCAATTTAAATCGACCCACTCCTATATACACACACATAAATAAATAAGTTAGTTTCGACTGAGGAAAGTGTGCAATGTTAAACAATGGCCTCCGCTGAACCGAAGACCATGAATATAATCCAGCCGACAAGATTGATTCCAGCCGCCGCGCTGAACACCATCGGCCAACTCTGTGTGAGCTCCAGAATGTGTCCAGCCAAATAAACACCGAGGAAGCCAGGAATCGCGCCCACTGTGTTCATTAGGCCAAATACGCTGCCCGAGTGCAGGGGAGCCAGATCTTGGGGATTTACTGTCACCGCATTGTTGTGGAAGCCAGTACCGCCAATGATAATGGTCATGCAGATGAGGGCTGTGTGGAAGTCCGAGGTGCGGCTCATTACGAACAGGGCCACATTCTGAGCGGCGAAGCAGCAGCTTTGGATGAACTTTCGCACCGTCGTCGTCTGCCACTCGCGGGCGAGCAACCTGGTGGTCAAGTACTTGGCGAAAAGTGTGCATGGCGGAAGGGCCAGCCACGGTATCATGTTGACAACCCAGCCCTTGGCGTGCGGGAATCCGTCGTGGAAGTATGTGGGCAACCACGACAGCAGCACAAAAAAGCAGTTCATCTCGCAGGCATGTGTCAGCACACAGGCCCAGAAGGACAGTCGGCTGAAGTAGCGTAGCCAGGGCACAGCCGTCGTCTCCGCAGGACTTTTATTTGCATACAGACGCGACGGCGTGGCAATGTTTATGATCCTATTGCGCTCCCCGGCCATTGCATAGTACCGCAGGACGAGCGCCCAGGCAATGCCCATCAGTCCAATCACCCGAAAGACGTACGACCAGCCAAAGTAATCCAGCAGGAACGAGCCCATGATTCCGGTGAGTAAAGTGCCCAAAGCTGAGCCAGCTGTGAGCAAGCCAAAGAAGCTGCTCCTCTCATTGGGGCAGAGATTCTGAAAAGGATTAGAATTAAAGTAGAATATATGTGTGATTTATCATTTTATCTGCTCACCTGACTGGTCAGACTGATCATGCTGGGGAAGTGGACGCCCTGGAGGGCTCCGTTTAGGATTCGAATAGCTACGATAAAGGGAATGGCATAGCTCTTGATGGAACCCGCCGACCATATGATCGTAGGCATCAGGAATGTGATGAGCGACCATCCGATGGCGGCAGCCAGGATGACCCGCTGGCCTCCAAAGCGGTCGCTGAAGTAGCCACCCACCACCTGCGTCAGGGTGTAGCCCCAGAAGAAGGAGCTGAGCACTGTGCCCGAGTCGGTTTTGCTCCACTTTTGGGCGGATGCCACGGCCGGCACAAGGAGGGGCATGGTGGTGCGGGTGGAGTAAAGCATGCAGGTCCCCGTTATCAGTGTAATGAACCACACGCGCTTCTCGTGCCTGCAAAGAATCGGTGGAGGAACTTAGTGAGATAACGAATCGAAGAGATGTATGTTAGGAATCCCACCTGGTCCATATGCTCTGCGTGTCCACCAGCTCCCCCCGCAGCAGCGAATATTTGAGCTTTTCGTCCATGGTCAATTTTGTAGGTCCGGATCTATTCCAACTGCTTCACGGCACATATTAACTCCAACTGCTGCGTCGCTTGCCGCTGTGGCATATTCTAATGGCCTTTGTTTACTTTCATCCAGTTTTCTTCGTTCGAGCAAGCCAAAGAATATGCGCCAGTTCAAATTATGTTTTTACGTGGCTGATTTTCCAGCATTTGCTGTATTAGAGCATGTTGCAAACTGGTCGACTCGCCTATGCGCTTCACTCTAGAATTAAGGTACTAAGGTACACCGGAGTAGCAAAATATATATTTTCAATTCTTTATTATATAAGATGGCATTATGGGCTATTGATTTTTTTTTCATTTAACATAAAAGTTTAAAATAATATCTTGTATACAAAATTGAATTTTTCCTAAAACTCCCAATTGCTGCCGGTGTAGGGTGCATAAAACAGTGTACCCAGTTTGTGATTTCCGTGTTGTTGTTAGGTCGATATGCCTTAAATCGATAATTTTTCGATAGTGCAACATGTGTTTCTGCGCTTAACAGCACATTTTGTTGTGCAAATATTACTGTTAATAAATAACCAAGGAGGTAAACAAACTATCTAAGCAATTATCCATAAACTACATTTAACAACAAACCAATAAAGCGTAAGAATTTTAAATATCTATCAATTGGCAATTTCCTTTAACTCTGATTAGCTGATTTTAGAAAAATGAAGGGAAAATGCAGAGTTTGCTTACGGAAGCATCGAAATATGGTAAATATCTTTACTGAAACACAGGATAAAATTGTCATAGCGGACATGATTTCGGAATCCACCGGCTTTCCTGTTAAAAAAGGCGACTCACTTCCTGAATCCATTTGTCCACCTTGCCTTCAGGATACCCAAAACGCTTTCAGGATAAAAGAAACCTACGAGAGGAGCCAGCAGTTCATATGTCAAATCAAGGAGGAAATCATAGAGGAAGATTTTCTGGAGGAAGAAGTTCAGCACTGCGATACGGAAGAATCAAATTTAGACGGGGAAACGGATCAGTTCGTTTGCCACGTCAAAAACGAGCCACTCGAAGAAGACTTCCCGGAGGAAGACTTTTCCAAGATATCAGACACCAAATTAGAGCAATACAATTGTCAAGAAAAAACCGAAAGAAGCGAAGATGTTGATGAAGAAGATCCAACCAAAGATGCTCCTTCGTTTAAATGTCTTCTTTGTCCCAGGAGATTTCGGAGCCAATACATTCTTAGTCTTCACACACCTGATCACATGCGGGAACAACAGTACAAATGTGCCCACTGCTCCAAGACTTTTCGTACTAAAACACAACACAGAACCCACATGCAGACTCACACTGGGGAACGATCGTACCAATGTTTGCAATGTTCCAAAACCTTTCTCAATAGTTCCAATCTTCAATCGCACGTTCGAATTCACACTGGAGAACGACCGTTTAAGTGCCTCAAATGTCCAAAGACTTTTATCCAAAAAACCCATCTTGTCAATCATGATCGAACTCACACCGGGGAACGTCCATTCAAGTGCCTACAATGTGACAAGACTTTTATACAACCAGCTAATCTTCAGACGCACATCCAGAGTCACTGTAAGATGGGTGTAAAATTTCGGAAAAATAGTAAATCTCGCATCCAAACACGCACTGAGGAGCCACATTTCAAGTGCTCCCACTGCTCATTGTCCTTTGATCACCAAGATGCCCTCACAGACCACATTCACACTCATAACGCCTTGTTTGAGGAAGAAGTTTGCCAAATGTCAGACAATGAAATCGATCCATTCAGCCATATCGAAGTGGATATATTTGAAGACAATGATAAAGAAGATGATGAAAGCGAGGATTATGGCGATGATGTTACATTGTTTGAATGCCCTCATTGTCCAAAGATATGCAAGCGCAGTCATGACCTCAGAGCCCACTTAAAAAATCATTTTGAACGACTGCAAAAGTGTCCCCACTGCTCGAAGTCTTTCAGTATCATATCCAATTATAAGAGACATCTTCGGATTCACACGAGGGAAAGGTCGTTTTCCTGCTCTTATTGTCCAAAGAATTTCAGAAATCCAGCGCAGCTTAGGGAACATACGCGAACTCACACTGGAGAACGGCCTTTTAAGTGTTCTGAATGCTCTAAGTCATTTACCCATAACTCCGTTTTAACAAAACATATGCGATCCCACACTGGTGAAAGACCATACAAGTGCAACCAATGCCCCAAAGATTATGCACAATTGGATCACCTTAAGGAACACATTTTAAGGCACAATAAGGAAAAAATCAACCCTAAAGATGAGGCTCGTAAGTGTAGCCAGTGCTTTAAGATATTTAAAAATGCAACAACACTTAGGAAACACATTCTGATTCACAAAAGGCAAAAAAAATACCCATGTTCGGACTGCTCAGAGAGCTTCAAAGAAAAAGATTCTTTAACAAATCACATATTACAAGTTCACTCAATTGACGAACCCTTGAACTGTCTTGAACAACCCTTTAAATGTGAACACTGCTCAAGATCGTTTTTAAATGATGATAATCTTAAAGTTCATACGCTTACTCACTCCGAAAAACCACGTCTTAAATGTTCTTATTGTAAAGATACTTTTGCAAACAGTCAAACTCTTAGATTGCACGTCCGCATTCACACGGGGGAAAAGCCGTATAGCTGTCCTCATTGCTCAAAATCTTTTTCGAGAAGCGACTATCGTTTAAAGCACATCAAAAGTTGTCACGGAAAAAAAGCATTTTCAAAATCCACATGTGAGCCTTCAATAAAGGATCCGAATGTCATTCCTGTTGAAGAACTTTAGTAATCTGGTTTTGGACCTGAATTTAAGCTTTAATAACTTAATTCTTGTAAATAAATATGTTACTATGTTTTAATACGTTTGTTTGCTTAGCGTTGGTAAGGGAAAACAATAATAAGTCCGGGTCTGTTAATATTCAATGTAAATCCTGGAGAATAATTTATAATCTTTCTAAGCCGTTCTATATTTGCTTAAAAAATAATTTTATTATTATATAGTAGTTTTTATATAGTAGTTTTTATAGTTTTATTTCAAAAGACCTCTAAAATATAGTTTTAAAGTTATAATAATATTCTTCGTTATTATTTCTTACTAGCAAAAATACAGAAGGAAGTAAATTCTTTAATCGATTTTCACTTGTCTCATAAAATAAATAATACAATTCAAAGCTAAAGTGCATATGTATATAATTGTGCTATAGGGAATCCTTTAAATTTATGAATCTAGTTCAATTCCATTTCTAAAAATTTTCTGTTATTAGTCATTATTATATAGAAAATACTTAAATGCATAATATCCAATATTACAATTTTTAAAGGTTTTTAAAAACAATTCGTTGTTGTTATAAATATATTAAAGAAAGATGGCATTTGGATATTTCTAATGAACAAAAGGTAAGGATCTCCTTGTGAATTCCTATCCTTAAAGGCCTCTTTGCAGTAGGGTTATTGGGATGACAATCACTTTTCTATTCTATGAGTTCGAAGGTGCTTATTGAGGTAGCGCTTCAGAGTAAAGGACTTGGAGCACAGAGAGCACTTATGGGACTTACTCGTCGAATGAGTGAGGATATGGGCTTGAAGAGCATACCTAGAAGTAAATTGCATCAAGCATTGGGGACATTTGAACAGAGGATTTTCAGAGTGTATTTTAATATGCTCGTTAAGAAATTTCTTTCTTGCAAACGATTTCGGGCACTGGGAACATTGAAACGATCCTGCATCCGAATGGGTAGTCATATGTCCCCGAAGTTGTTGTTTCAAGGGATACGAATTGGGACATTGGGTACATTGAAAGGGTCGTTCTCCGGTGTGAGTGCGAATATGATCCCGCAGATGTGATTTTCTGCCAAAGAATTTCTTGCAATAAGAGCACTTGTGCGGGCGGATTCCGTCGTGGATTCGTTGGTGGCGCAGGAGATCGGAACCCTTCACAAAGGACTTGGAGCACTCGGTGCACTTGAAGGGTCGCTCGCCCGTGTGGATGCGGATGTGCGACTGAAGTGTGGGATGCTGTGCAAAGGAATTGGGGCAATGTGGGCATTTATAAGGCTTTTCACCTGTGTGACAGCGAATGTGAATTTTAAGAACTGCTCTATTAACAAGGAACCTCGAACAATGCGGACATTGAAAAATTTCTTTATCCAAGTTTCTTTTCCTTCGTTGTCGTTTCTTGTTTTTCGTGGATTTTGGATCCTGGCCAGCTCCTTCACCAGAATTAGGGGCATTTTCCTCGCATTCTTTGTCAGAAATTTCCCAGTCTTCTTCTTCGAGCAACGCGCAAATGGCTTCTTCGATGCCTTCATCTCTGACCTGGCAGAAGAACTGGTAGCTCCTCTCGCAAGTCTTTCGGATCTTAAATGCAGTCTGCGCGTCCACCAGACAAGGTTGGCAAATTGTCTTGGGAAGCGAATCGGCACGATTGACCTCGAATCCGGTGCACTCGGTGATCATTTCTGCTATGGAGGTGTCCAGTTTCGGCATTCGGTCGAAAATGTTGACCAGGTTTCCGGCATTTCCCAGACAAGCCCGGCAAATTTTCTCCATGGTCCTGAATAATATAAATAATATAAATCAACCATCTTAAAGAATATATTCCGTTGAATTTACCAAGTTAATATAATAATCCAAAAATAATCCAAATCGTTTGTTGCCTGAGTTTCTGTCTATGAATTCGTGAAAGAGTCCTCAGCTAAAAACACATGCAAATATGCAATCTGATATTAATATCATATGATCATAACACAACAATAAGAGCTGTTATACGCGTTGGATAATTAGTTAAAATAAAATGATATTATCATAGAATTATAAAAGATTAAAATGAATAGAAAATAATATTTTTATCTTGTTAGCAAAACCTTTAATTCTAGAGATTTTATAACCCAGCAAGTTTTGACTTTAATTTAAATTAAAAGAATTAATTTAGTTTTGTACCATTACATGCAAATATCTAAGTACAGATATTTATTAACAATTTCTAGTTTGCTTTTATATAAACAAGATATAAGTAAACATGGTTTAACAAGGGATTGTATCATTTTGAGGGTGCTCCCCAAAGGGAAAAGACATTCTATCGAGTGTCCCTAAAATTTAATCCTCGTGCGTTTTCATGTGCAACCGCAACCTCTGCTTGATGCTGAAGGACCTCTGGCACTGAGGACACTCGTAGGGTTGCTCTCCCGTGTGGGTTCGCATGTGGTTTTGTAGTGTAGATCGGGCTGAGAATGCCTTCGAGCACTGGGAGCACTTAAAGGGGCGCTCCCCGGTGTGACTGCGCAGGTGGATGGTTAGGAGCTTCTGCCATCTAAAGGACGTCGAGCAGTGCGGACACTTGTGGGGACGCTCACCGGAGTGGCCCAGCATGTGGTCCCTCAGAGAGCCGGAGTAGGAGAAGGATTGCGGGCACTCGGGGCACTTGAAAGGGCGCTCGCCCGTATGGATGCGGATGTGCCTATGCAGGGCACTGCTGTCCTTGAACGACTTCTGGCACTGGTCACACTTATAAGGTCTTTCGTCAGAGTGGAGTCTTATGTGCTTCGTTAGATTGCACTTCAGCCTGCATCGCTTTGGACAATGTGGACACTTGAAGGGAAGCTCCAGATCACCAGTATCGCTGTCATCTGTCAAGGCCTGCTCCTGACTCTTGACCTTCTTCTTCAATTGGCAGAAGAAGTAATGGCTCTTCTCGTACGTTTTCCTAATATCGAATGAATTTTGGACATCCTCTCGGCAAGACAGACAAATAAGTTCGGGCAGTGAGTCCCCTTTTTTCACTATTAAGCCGGTAGATTCCGAAATCATTTTCGCTATTGAAATGCCAAACTCCTGCGTCCCTTGATATATGTTTACCATGATCTCAGACCTATTCAAGCAAACTCGGCATATTTCTTCCATTTCACTGAAATGGGCAAAAAATTAAATATATTAGCTTACGTTTTTTTAAGTTTCTTTTATAAATACAATTGCTAAACTAACACGGTTTGCTTGGTTTGTTTTGATTACTGAATATCATTGCTCTAGTCACCCTGTGTCTGTACAATGTACTGTTAAAAATAATCCGATTTTTTAAAAACGAGTTATCGAAAAATGTGATAAGCATTAATCAATTTTGATTTAACAACTGTATTCAAATAAATTACAATTTAAAAATTCATAAAAAAGAAAAAATAATATTTAAATTAATATTGTAGCTTACCCTGCCAGTTCCAAATAAGAACAGCAAATGCAATTCACAAATTAATAATTCTTTAATGTTTTTTATTATAATATTTGAGAAATTGTTTGTGTTACATTCAATTTTATCTGTTGTAAATATCGCAAGGTCTATCAAGATATTTTGTCTTAAAATAGTAAAAAACCTATGCTAAGTAGTATTAGTTTCTATTTCTTGGGCAGTGCATCCTCGTCCGTGGGATCGCAGTCGGCGCAGTGCCAGGAGTAGCCGCGTATCTTGGGAGATTTCTTGAGCGGCGGATCCAGGCAGGCAAAGTGGTAGTGCCGGTGGCACTCGTCGCAGGTCACTACCTGGTTGGACTTCCCAGTCTGGCTGCACACGCAGCAGCTAATCTCCACATTCGGCTTGGTGTTGGACACTCGAGGGCGTCCCACGCGCGGCTTCCGGGGACTTGGCTTTCGCGGGCTGACCTTCCGCTTGGGCGACGGGGTGGCGGTGGCAGTGACGATGGCGGGAGTGACAGGCGCCTCCTTGGGCTCCCGAACCTTTTGCGGCGACGTTGCCGGCAGCACAATGGGGGCCAAGGCCTGCTCCGCTCCCTGGACACTGTCCTCCACAGTTTCGACCGAAGTGGGACGCGAAGCCTCGTCCACAGAGCGCACAGCATTGGCCGGCACGTAAAAGTACTGAGACTCAGGCGCATCCTCGCCCGGCAATCGCAGGGCCTTGAAGATGATCTTGATGGTGCTGCCCGAAGAGTTGGCCACGTTGTCTAGGTGAGACGACGACTCATCGAGATGTGCTCGCTTTTTTCTCTTCCGCTTGTGCTCCTTGCCGATGGATTTCTCCGTATCCGAAGACAGGTTGTGCTTGTTCTTGTGCTTGTCCTTGCGTTTCCCCTTGCGGGATAGTTTTCCGCTGGAGTCGTCGATGGAGTCCTCGCAGCCGGATAGATTCAAAGTGCCAGCATTGGGCGTGGGCAACGCAGGAACAGCCGCTGGGGTGGGCGTGGCATTAGCAGTAGGAACTGGCGGAAAAAGATCCGTGACATTAGTTTTGGTTTAAAATGAGAAATCAATTTACATACGCTTAGCCCAACTATAGAATACCCAGATACTCACCAAGCTAAATTTCTTAATTGCAACGTTGAGTACCAATAAATTTTGCAATGGTTTATATACTCGTACTATTAATATGTAGTACAGTCCAAACAAATCCAATTGTAAGAAAATTAAAATTTTAAATGAAAACGTATTCTTTCTTATTTCACTAGGCAAACATTCATTTTGTAATCCTGGATATTCGCAAGTACATTAAACCAATATGTCTAGATTCTGGTATTACTTTCAAAGTAAAGATTCACAAATTTTTATATTTTTAAAAACTAAAGAAAAACTCAAAATTAAGCATTATTTTCTTAGCAAGAATAGTGCAAAGTCGAAATCTTCACATCAAACTCACCTTTGGTAGGTGTTTTACAAGGCGATTGCAGTTTTGAACGTTTCGGCGACTTCGTCAGATCCTCGATAAACTCTGAGGCAGTGGCTGGCAGGGATTTGTTCAGCGCCCGCTTGGCCGGCACCTCCTTGGAACCGAAGGCAGCGGCAACTGGTACATCGTCCAGCGAATATCGATCCACATAGACCAGGTGGCCATCCTTGTTGAAGCGAGTGCGGGACTTTCTTGGGCCCGAGGAGATCTCCGTGACGGCATCTGAACCTTCCGACTTGTCGCAACACTCAGAGCACTGCCAGCCATACAGCTTGGATTTCTTTGGCGGACGCGTAAGCGGCGGATTCAGGCAGCCCAGATGGTAGTGCAGGTTGCAGGTGTCGCATTTGACCAGCAAGTGCTGATCCTTGCTCCGCTTGCAGATGCCGCAAGCCACCGAAGGGGCGGCATCCACGGTAGTCGAAGAACTGCTGTGCTTTCCCTGTTTCGCCTGAGTGCTGAGCATGCGCGAAGAGTCAAGTTTACTGCCCGGCGGACCCAGGTGGCCCAACGGAAAGCCCACGCCCATTTTCAAGGCAGCTGCTGTGGGCACCGAGATGGGTCGCTGGGGTGGAGTGGGTGTGCTCGTCTTGGGCGGCGCCTCGGGCAGTGGACGTGCTATGAGCTCCACGCTGGGTAAAGTCATATTGGGTGCAATTTGCGCCAGAGTAGAGTGCAAACTCTTAATGCTTGTTAGTAGGGAATCCTTAGTGGCCTTCACCGCCTTGCGCTCCTCCAAAGCAGTGTCATATTGAGCCCTTAGTACGTCTTGGTCCTTAGACAGCACAGCATTGTGCGAGATAAGCTGCCGCTGCTGCAGCCGAAAGTCCTCCATTCGAACTATGCGGTCCATGTAGTAGGCAGTGAACTCAACACTGAACGCTGGCGCAATGTGCCACTTTTTCCGGATGTCTGTCAATGCGTTGATATGCGCCTCTCTCTGCTCCAGATGCTGCACATCCACGGACATGATCTCTGCCTTGGCCAACAGGCGACGGCAGGCCGAGGCCGAAGTGGTCAGAAGGCGAGACATTTTCTGAGTCGGCACCCACGGCGTCGGCTTAAGCTCCTTGTGCCGGGCGTACTTGTGCTGGATCTTGAGAAGTTTGCGCTGAATGCGCGCCTGGGCTGGATTCGGATGAGGGGTCGAGGCCTCGGTGTCGCCAGATGTTGCCTCCTTTTCCCTGGCCCGCTGGAACATGTTGAGCCGTAATGTATGGTAGTTGCGTCGCCGCTTCTTAATCATTTCCTTCTCGGAGTGGACCTTGCAGTGAGCGTAGAAGGGATCGGCAGCATCGTCTTCGTGGTGCGCCTCGATGAGGAAGCCGGCCACCTGGGCGCAGGTCACGTGGAAGTAGGTCTTGCACATGCCTGCATCGCAGCCAATGCAAACACCTGATCGAGCGAACAGAGAATTCTCACAGAGCGAACAGACCTTGGCGCCCCACTTGCTGTACTGCATCTCGAACAGCGTCACCGATGACAGCTGCTCCACTTCGCCGAAGGCCACGCCGGGTACATACAGGGCGCAGATCAGGTGCACCCACTTGCCCACATCAGTCTCCTTGTAGATGCCGCCTTTGTTGGGGCACAGCTCGCAGTCAGGCTCCGAGACTCCTGCGCGACAGGCCTCGCAGAACCACGGTTCCGTGGAGCAGGTGGAGTTGGTACTGGAAATGCTCACGTTGTCACTGACGCCGTAGCATCCCTCGTGCACTGACACGCCGCAGGAGTCGCACTCCACGATTTCGTTGACGTCGTCGCTTCGCTCGCCCAGGCAGACGCAGCACATCCGCTTGGCCGGAGCACTGGATAGCTGAAGCGGGGGTCGAATGACGCCCCCACCTAGTGCAGGTGCTCCTTCGTGGTCTACTCCGTTGATCCCGTTCGCCATGGGCGACGGCTCCGTTTCGGCCAGCAATTGGCGCAGCTGTAGCGTCGAGTCCTCGCTCTCTGCATCCGAATCCGACCCAGAATCCGAGCTGCTGCTCGCGTCGCTGCTGGCGTCGCCATCGCTCTCGTCCTTCGAACCGTCCGAGCAATTGTCGATGTCCGGCAGGAAATCACTGTCCGAGGAACTCTCGCCTAGGTCAAAATCGAGCAGGGCCTGGGTGGTGATCTTCGGCTGACGCGCTCGCTTCATGATTCAGCAGCAATCTCGGGTTTATCCGCAATTATTTCCGCAATTCTCCTTGGCACCCGAGACTGAAAAATATCGACTAGTCGATAGGTCGCCACTAGAGGTGGTCTGTGCTTTATTGTGATAAGCAAACGATGTATCGATAAAATAAAGTTTACCGGTTTTTAGCTGTATTTTAAATATATATAAAAAAAACGTCAATTGACTCTTTATTGTTGATATGATTGAAGTAAACAAAAACGATAATATAGATTATTTTTAACCAAGCTTATGCAATGTTTGTGAGGATAATTTTAAAAACATAAAGAAGTGATGGTGATATCTTGCCCAGGGTGAACACAGACTCAAGTATTAATGCTAAGGGACACGCTTTGTATTTTCCGATATAAACTAAGCTATATTATAGTAGGTACAGTTCTGATCAGTGGCCTAAAAGACCTCCAGCTGCTCGATGGGCAGCCACTTGGAGCTCTCCAGAGCGTCGTACAGACGGCGGTCTGCGTCGATGGCCTCGCGATTGAGCTTGTCCGTGTCCAGGACGAACTTGTGCTCTACGAGTCCGTATTCATCATCAGCTCCGTTCGCAGCGGAGGCACTTTGCTGCTGCTGCTCGTACTGGGCGCTGCGCTGGGCACTCCATGCTTCGGCGTGCTGGGCAAGGGTTTGTGGATTGGAGTGCGACTGCGACATAGCCTGCTGGTAGTAGGCAGCTGCATCTGTGATCGAGGGTCCCGCCTGCTCGTAGTAACCTTGCCAGGCTTGGTATCCCTGCCAGTAGGTGCTAGTAGGGTCGTAGTACTGCGAGTAGTCCGTCCCCCCGGTGGATGCACTGCTTCCAGAGCCACCATAGCCATAGTTGGTGTTCCCTTCTCCTGCTGCAGCACCCAACTCAGACTTTGGCTTGGGCACAGCATTGCAGATCTTTATCGGCTTGCTGCCCAAGCCAATGAAGCCGTTCATGTCGTACAGCGCTGACTTCTGCTCATCCTCAATGCCGAACCGCACAAAGCCGTAGCCCTTTGAGAAACCGAGGCTGTCCAGGATAACCTTGGCCGTCTTGATCGAGGTGAACTTGCTGGAGAACACTTTGTACAGCTGGTAGTCGTCCACGTCCGAGCTGAGATCGCCCACCCAGACGCTGAATTCGCGTTCGTTTCCTGGGAGCTTGTACGAGTTGCTGGCCGAATTAAGCCGGAATCGCACGATGGGATTGGTGCCGGGAATCGGCTTGCCATTCAGCTTGTGCATTGCGTCCAGCGCATGGTCATCGGATATAAAGTTGACGAAGCAGTAGCCGGCCGGTTCGCCGGTGTATTTGTTTCGCATCAGGCGCACCGTCGTGGGATCCTCTCCCATTTTCCGGAACGCGGCAATTATGAAGTTCTCGGTCATGTAGGACTCCAGCTGAAATGGCAGTTAAATTATCATGTTTCTTAACCAAAACACAGTGTTACTTACACTTCCCATCCACAGTTGACAATGTACGGACGCCATATTTGCTGAAATTCGAATAAAAATCACACTTCTGAATAACAATTCTTTTTTTTTTATTTTTTATATTAAGTTACTTCCTATCTTGTCAAGATGGAAGAATTATTTGGCCGCCCCGTTGGAACGGGTTAACGCCACCGCCAATGCATGAAAGTAAATTTCAGGATAAACAAAATGTAATAAGCGATAACGTAAATAGCGTGAAGTGATTTCTGAAGATGTGTTTTGATGACGATGAACGATGATGAGTTTATCGATGTGTGTGAGTTAAATTAATGTATATGAATTCGTGAGTTGATTAGATGAGGTGTTAGATGTTATGATGTATGAAATGAGCAGTAACTATTATTTATATGATTAGTAAATATTATTTATATGATTTTGTGAATTGTTATTTGATGTGGAATGTGTTAAATTAAATATTAATATTGGCAGCATGAATAAAATTGGTAATCGATGTCCAATTTTCAATTGGTTCATTTCCGAGTAAATGATAGATATCGCTATATTTAAGTAGTGTTGGATAATGTTGTCTTATTTGTGTGTATTTTGAGCAATTTAGCAAAATATGTGAAATGTCTTCGTTACTGTTGCATGAATCGCAGACAGCGTTATTGTATACTTTCATTTTGGAAAGCGTGTGTCGATCAAAAGCGTGCCCGCTTAAGACTCTGTTCAGCATCTTGATTTCTAACCGATTGAAGAGGTTTTCCTTGTTATTAAACCAAGGCTTGGAAGTGGTATACGGTGTGAGGAGAGAGTAACCCTTGTTACGCTCTAATGAAAACAAGCTATATTCTCGTTCCCAGTCTTGTTTTATTTTTGCGAACATATGGTTAATAGCGTCGTTGAGGGTCCATCTGATAGCTATGAAAGAACCGTCGAATCTCGCATTTTTTGCTGCTGTATCTGCTAGATCGTTTTCCCAAATCTTAGTATGGCTTGGGATGTGATGAAACTCTACGGCGAGCAGAGTTTGATTGTTTTCTATTTTTTGATGAATACATTGCGAAATGCAGTTTTTAGAGTTCTGGTTTTTAATTGTTTGTATAGCACCGAGACTATCTGTTAAAATGGCAATTCTTATGAAATTCTTTGATATACCAAAGTCAATGGCTTTTTCTAGGGCTGTGAGTTCAGCCGTCAGCGACGACAGTTTTTTGTCATTGTAAAAACTTTTTATTGTATTGGAATTCAAGTGCACGAAAGCACTTCCTGTGAAGTTTTCCGACACAGAACCATCCGTGTATATGATTTCCATATTTTCAGAGTTTAAACCATTTGTTTTTTCTTTAAGCAGCGAATGGATTATTGTTTCATTTGCCATGTTTTTATTAGAGCAAGTACCTTTAAAAAACTGTGTGTCATATGAGATTTTTCGTGAAAACAGTGAGAGAGGACAAATAGGAACAATACAATCAAGGATATTTTTAAATTCAACATAGACCTTACTATAGCTAGTATTTTTGGCAACGAATGAATTTGATAAAAGCGATGCAGCTGGAAGTCCGTGAGCGAATGTTTTGGCCAATTCCTTGGCTGTAGCGAATTTAATTCTATACGCTGGAGGCAATTCTGCTGCGAGATTATAAATAATATTGACTGGGGTCGATCTAAGAAGTCCTAACGCTTTTCTAAGGTGAAAGTTGGCATGTTTATTGATGAGACTTTGCACTGATTTTGAGACGTTGGAAAATGATGAGCAAGCGTACTCGTATCTTGTCCTTATGAAAGCTTTATAAAATAGCAGTGACTTGCCTGGATGTATTCCAAAGCGGCAGCCACTGAGCAATTGAAGAAACATATTCGTTTGGTTGGATTTCGAAATCGTTTTCTTAATATGCTGGACAGAAGAGTTGTTTGCACTTATGATTCTACCTAAATAATTAACACTATCTACGTTTCTTAAAAAGATATTATCACAAAATATACTTAAAGGTCTTCTTCTATAGTTAAAATGAATAGTGGTCGATTTATTTGGATTAAAAGTAAGATTATTTATATGGCACATTTCCATAAAATTGTTAACTTTCTGTTCTAATTTTTCTTCAGCTAACGAGAAGTTTTTGTCATAGCAGATTAGAAAAAAATCGTCAGCGTATTGAAAAAGAATACTGTCTTGGTCATTGCATAAATTGTGAAGTTCAGTTGTGTATAAATTAAAGAGGATTGGACTTAGACAGCTACCCTGACTAACTCCTTTGTCTACCGTTACCTCTGCTTTACCCATAGTAAGAACTCTTTTACTGAGGAATTTTATAATGAAATATATATGAGTATGGTCAAAACCCATATTCACTAGTTTTCTGCCCAAAATGGGAATGTTCACAGTGTCGAAGGCTTTACTTAAGTCTAAAACAGCTGCGGTGACGTGGAACCCACGAGCTTTTAAATTGGCTATATTATTAATCACGTCGTTAATGCATTGTGAAGTTGAATGATTTTTTCTGAATGCATAGGATCTTGTTGGCAGGATTTCATTTTTATTTATGTGCTCTTCCATACGTAGTTTTATCAAACCTTCTAAACATTTAAACACCACACTTAGAAGGCAGATGGGTCTGTTGTTAGTGATAATTGAGGGGTCGAGATTTTTTTTAGGAACAGGTATAACCTTTATTTTCCGCCACATATCTGGAATGTCACCATTGTCTAGAGTAATGTTTAGCAGGGATACCAGTTTATTTAATTGTTCTAATGGTAAAGCTAGGAGCATTCTGTATGAAATATTATCAAGACCTTTGGCTGAGTCTGGGTTACGGGAGTTAAGAAAGTCAAGGAGTTCACATGTTGAGAAATTTGAGTTATTATATCTATAGAGCAGATCGACAGAGAAAGAACTCACAGAACACATCGGAGTGTTGGGTGATGTGGCTATTTGATTAAGAAAATCTCTATGTTCTGAGTCAGAAATTGCACTTTTGGGCGTCTTGATTTGTTTATAAAGTTTTAGTGAGTTTATTTTGTTCCACATGTCCTTCAGTGATGAGGGGCTAGAGATATCTTCTGCAAGCTTGTTAAAGTTTTCTTTTCTCATTTTATAGAAGTAGTTGTTAAGTTTTTTATTGCTGTTAATATAGGCAATAGCATCAGAGTGTAGTTTGGATTTGAAATATTTTTGTCTGCATGCATTTCTTAGTCTAAACAATTTTTCACAGACCTCGTCCCAGTATTTTTTTGGAACATATCTATTATTTGTGTCTATTTTAAACGAATTATTAGAGTGTATGGCTTGGGATGAAGTGTATAAATTGTCTAAAGTTGTAATTTGAAGATTGGAAAAGTCTTGAATTATTTGTTGATGGTTAAATTTATTAATATTAGTTGAGGTAGATACTTGGTTTATTTCTATTAGAATTGGGAAGTGATTACTGTTTGAGATTTTAGAATTTATTGAGGACCAGTTTAAACTATGATTATTATTATTAATGAATGTGACATCAAGAGTCGAGCTGTAGTTTGGGTTATGAGAATAGGTTGGAGAGCCATTGTTAATGCAAAAGAAACCTGATTGTAAAAGGTAATTTTCTAAGATGCCGCCTCTGGCATCTTGAGTATTATTACCCCAAATGCTGGATTTGGCATTAAAGTCACCACCTATGATTGCAAGACCACTTGATTGGGCCGCAATTGTGAAAAGGTCATCACAACCTTGTTCGAAGGAATTGATATCAGGGTTGGGAGCGGCATATATGCTGAATATATTAATATTGTTTTTTAAGTTTGTTGTATGGATGCCAATGGCTTCTAGGCTAGTGTTACAGTTAATTTGTTTAAAACGTATATGTTTTTTTAAATAGATTCCAACGCCTCCATAACCATCATTGCGTGGCTTACATACAAAGTTGTAATTTGCCAAGCCACACATGGAATTATTACTAACCCATATTTCTGATAAAATTGCTATGTCTATATTGTTATTAACTAAGAATAATTCTAATAATTGTTTATTATTGTTAGCAGTTAAGCTCTGAATGTTATATTGAAGGATTTTTAAGGACATTAACTTATTATAGTTTTAGGATTTATAGAATTTAAATTTAAAAAAAAAAAGAAAAAAAAACTAAAAAATTAAATAAATAAAATAAAATAAAACAGATAATAAACAAAAAAAAAAAATAAAAAAGAAAATAAAAAAAAATAAAGTAAATAATAGATACAAAGAAGGTGTTTTATTTAAAATTAAACAACTTGATTAATTTTAAATAAATCAATTTTCGAGTTCGTAATCGCAATTCTGTTTCTTAAGTTTTCTAAGAAATTTCTTGATTCGGGTACTAAATTGGTATTTTCATTGATTAAGAATGAGGATATATCAGAAGCTAATTGATTTAAACTATTTTCTGCAGCTACAAGAGCTGGATTGTCTGAAGAATGTTGACTAGAGATTGGGGAGCTAGTAGAATTATAATGGACGTGAGAAAACTTTTCGTTTGGGGTGTACTCGTTTTCTTTAAGAGTGGCTTTCCAGCTAAGCATGGTGTCGCGCGAGTTTTTCTCTTCATTTTTTTTGTTAAGAGAGTTTCTAACCACTTTGTTAAACGGGTTATGTGCAAAGATATGTTGGGTAGCTATTCTGGTATTATTTTGCAGAACGGGAATGGCTGTTTTTTTTTGCCATGATGGCTGAGGGAAATTTGTTATATCATTGGTGTCTACTTCATCCAAAATTTGGAAAAGTGAGGGATATCTAAGCTTCGTCTCATTTCTTGAGAGATTTTCAAGAGTCATGCACTTCTTAATAGAGTACGCTCTCTTGCGAGCAGGGCACTCAAGAGAGGTGGCTATGTGATTTTGTTTGCAGTTGGCACATACTAGTTGATTGCATTGTTGCTCTCTTGGATGCGAAAGAGAGCATTTGCTGCATTTTTGTTCTGTTTGCTTACAATGCTGAGCGAAATGGTTAAATCTGAAGCAGCGGAAACATTGGCTAAAGGGAACATAGGGACTAACATTAATTTTGGTGTACAAGAAAACGATTTCATTAGGGATTTGAGTACCTTTAAAAAGGATCTTAACTCTCGAAGTATTAATAAATAATTCTTTATTATCTCGGTCTCTAGTTTTAACACGAATAATATCATGAATTGGTACTGGGGAGGAAATGTATTCTTTAATAATACCCATTTTAAAAATGAAATGTTTAAAAATTTTTGGTTCGTAGCCATTATTTTTTAGGTTAGATGTCAGTATGCTATTGGCTGCCGCCGCTGACTTGCACTCAGCTTTGCAACGTCCATAACCAATCTTATTCACTGAGGTAATGTCTTTTATTTTTAATTTTAATAAAACCGCATTTAATTCCAGAGGATTTATTGGTACTCTATTAGGTCGGTTTTCGCCATTGCTTTCGCCAATTTTGTCTATATATACCACAAAGGGTCCCTTGTGGTCGCTGCTGTATGAGTATTCGCCGTTGTTGGAATTTCCATTTTCTTTCTTTTCCTCTTTGTTCGTTATTATTTTACCACTTACTTGGCTGCTTGTGCTAGGATGACTTGCAATGTCATTGTCCTCTCTCATCTCTACTTCTTCACATTCCGAATCAGTTGCGTTTTTGTCTAAAGGTTTTTTCTTTTTAATTAAGGGCGATAATTTCGGTCTTTTAAAATTGGACGACTCCGAGATAGGGCTTTTACCCTTGGCCTCGGAGGAGGCCATTTTCTTTGGGGTAATTTTACCCGTATTTGATTTTTATTTTGTGCCACTTACAAGTTATTAATATTAATAATTAGTAATATATAAGAAATATATTTTGTTATATTTATATTATTGTTATAAAATTTTTAAAATTATTTTTCCACACACTGCTTAAACACCTCCGTTCCATACGCTTGCGAGCAATTTTTTGGAATAACAATTCAATGTGTTTACTAAATACAGCTAGCGATGGCAAATGAGTACTGCGAGCTGTCAGAAAATATCGATACTAATCGATAAAGAGATGTCCGAAAATGTGTGTAGCCCTGGTATAAGCCAAGTTATGACTCATGGTTGGAGTCTGTGCTGCTATTATATTTTATGTGGGTTGGGTCTTCGGTAAACATAAGTTAATTATTGAAATATTTTAAAAAGTAAAGTTTACCTAATGACAGTTACTTTTGGAATACTCAACATTTAAAAATTCTCATTTAAGTCTTCCAAATAACAACAGTTTTTGAATTGAAATTCACAGAAAAAGCACTGCTATATCCGATATGGTAAATCTTTAAACGATCTTTTCAACCTTTTTTTAAATAGCAATAATACCAATATATAATCAAAGGTTATTTGACAACCCTATACAGTAACGACATTTACGTTTAGCTCATTTTTTATCATTTCAAAATCGGAGCAGGTTAACAGAAAATGCGTATTACTCTTTCCCGGTTGGCCAGCTTTACTCCAAAATTGAAGGAGTTGCGGATCATACTTGACCCCAGCGGAGATGCCTCCAAGGGAGCCAGGTGAAATTGGCGTTTACCCAATTTAATTATATAATTTACACCTAGCAATATTTCTTTAAAGGGAATACGTCCAGAGATTCTATCCGAATCTAAAGAAAAATAATCCCGATCTGCCGATCCTGGTGCGCGAATGCTCTGGCGTCCAGCCGCGACTTTACGCTCGCTATGGTGAGTAGATTATGAAAAATATGAGTTTAAAAGCGCCCTATCTGTAATGTAATCTCCGTTAGGCAACGGCAAGGAGGTCTCTCTATCCCTGGCCAACCAGGAAGCCCCCGACATACACAAAAACATGGAGGCAGTGGGAAAATAGACCTTAACGCTTAGGAAACCTATTTAAAAATGTAAAATAAAGGCCAAACCAAAAACTACGTACACAAATGCGTGTATATTAAGTAACACTTTACACTTAAAATCGTTTGCTTGGTAGGTACATCAATTTTCAATTATAGCGTCGCCCGGCTACAAAAAGTACATCGGCCATTAAGATCCTGCTCAATCCGTGAACGGGGGCAGTCCGAACTGCTCTGGCTTGAAGTCCTCCAGGGACCGCAGCACCTGTGTGGCATGGGAGGTCCTCTCCTGGGACAGCCGTGGATCCGGCACCATGACCACCTGCATTCCGGCGCTATTCGCTGCCGTCACGCCGTTCGGAGAGTCCTCGAAGACCAGGCAGTCGGAGGCTGCTGGAGGCACTCCAAATCTGCTGGCGGCCACCAGGAAAATGTCGGGCGCAGGCTTTCCGTTTGCCACCTCCTTATCCGTGGACCCGCACACCTTGTGGTTGAACAGGCCGAACAGCTCCCGGTGTTCGTTGGTCTTCAGCTCGACCATGTCGGCGCCGGAACTGGTGGCCAGACAGAACGGCACCTTGCTGGCGTGCAAGTGACGCAGCAGGCGCTCAGCACCTAAAATGGGCGGGAAAAGAAATGATTAATAACCAGCTTTGGACAGTGCGAAGTCATAGTAATGGGATAGGGAATGCGGTAGTATTTATAGGGAAAAGAAGCCTCTCTTAGTGTTCTGGTCGTGGTGCTAACCTTCCAACAGAGGAACATTGTGGAGCCGCTCGTGGCACAGTTGGGAGTATCGCTTGAGGAAGTCTTTCGGCGAGATGGGCAGCTGGCACTCGGTGATAGCGATCTCCGCCGAGCGCTGCTCCGTGGTGCCCATGACCCGGAATCGCACGGCCTCCGGATAGGGACGGCCGAAGGAAGCGGCTATTTGCCGGGTGACCTCCTCGTATATCCGCTCCGTGTCTGAAACGTGACGGCAAAGCGAGAACGGGGATTAGTACCTGGCATCAACTGGGCGTTCCGCATCAGTTTCTCGGTGTTGGCGCGCTGCTGGCGGGCGTACTCCTCCCACGAAATGGGCAGTTCATAGTGCTCGACCATGAACCTAGCCAGCGGCTCTGTCTGGAGGCCCATAACGCGCTCTTTCACCTCGAATGGATAGGCCTTGCCGTAGGGCTCAAGAATCATTTCCGTGGCCACCGTATAGAGTCGTTCGGTGTCTGTTCGACAAACAGTTAACATAAAAGCAGGCTGAAGCAGGAGCACACTCACCCAGCAGCAAACCGTCCATGTCAAAGATGCAGTGCGTCACCTTTCGCAATACTTTGTTGGCCATCTCGTAGTGGATCTCCTCAATGGGTTCTCAGTTATGTAATAATGGGGTAGGCAAGGTCGCGTCTGTAACACAGAGGTCATAATTAAGTTACGGCTTGAACTGGAACCACCCCCCGCCCACTTTATCACTTCCTGTATTAATTGCCTCTCATTCGGTCATGTCCTTGACCCAAGGTCGTCGCATCCCCCAAAGCCAGGTCATAGATAAGGGTTGTCTGTAAACATTCGGCCTTGACCTACACGTACTTTTCTTCCGCCTGTTGAAATCGCAGCGAATAGTATTTTTCCGCTTTCTTACGAATTTTTCCGCGAGCTTTCTGGTTGCGAGTGTGACCGTGGCTGGGGAGACAAAAAAAAGTATACTGCACAAATCGTACTAAAAAAGGAATGCTCTTTCTCAGCCTTCACTGACGAATTCACACTCTTTTTTTTTTAAATTTTTAGGGTATATACAAGCTATAAGATAGACTATAACTAGTAGTATAATATTCTATAATTTATAAATATCTATTTAAGTTTTTGAAGAAAAATAAGCTGACATAATATAACTTTTATCAACAAAAACCAAAGTTTTAGTTGTTCTTGCAAGCGTTACAAGAAAACTGACTTCAGTGTTTGTATTCTACAATAAACAATCTGTAATTAAAGTTCTACTAGTTTAATTGTCAATAGAGTATAAATCAATCAAATAAAATACATCCTTACTTTATATAAAATGGAATTTTTGCCGCCTTTCCTTAATTATTTATTTACGCTCTCGATACTTTCCATCCAGCTAAAGTGCAGAGCTTTAAAAATTCCCAACACCCTTATTTCAGACATCTTTCATGAGTTAGCCAAACTCCTAAGATATTTATTTTTGTTTATTATCTAAAAGTATCTGTCAAAAACTCGGTAAAAGTAAAAGCTAAGCACACCCAAAAGCCTTCAGTAAACAGCACATTTTTTAGGAATAGCAGATACTTGTTTTTCTTTTAAATTTATTAAAAAACAAATACATTTTTGATGGTCGAATGTAGTCCACGTGCCTTTTTTCTGTAGAAGAGGAATCTGCAAGAGAAAAACAGGCAATTAGCTACTGGAAGAGGCAAACTTTGATAGCATATGGGAAAAGTAATGGACTTGCCAAAAACACAATCTCACCTTAACTTAGGCGCTCAGCAAGCACACACCACCGGCCTTCTTGATCTTGTCCTCAGCCTTCTTGGAGAAGTACTTGGCCTTCACGATGACGGGGCGGGCGGGCAGGTGACCACGGCCCAGCAGCTTGTAGTAGCCCTGTAGGGAGATATTCTTATTAATTATATGTCATAGGAAGTGGAAAATACAGCATCCACTGTTTCTACTGGCTGACTTTGATCTGAAAGGCTGTTCTCTACACGGGGAGAGCAATTGTACGGTCGCATTCTGTCCGCCCATCGCCTTGGGTGTCTCTTCATGTTCAAAGCAGCAGCAGCAGTACGCAGCAGGGTGCCAATTCCTGAAAAGAACTTACGAATTTAACCAAGTCGATGACGGGAGCCTTGGTGCTCTTTTCCTTCTCCAACTCGGCGAACTTCTCGGGTCCGACCAGGGACCATAGCTTGTCCAGGTTGATCTCGGGCCTGAACTTGTGCTGGCGGCGCAGATGGAAGTTCCTCATGCCGACCTTGCCGAAGTAACCAGGATGGTATTTGTCGAAGTTGATGCGGTGGTGGTGCATGCCACCAGCGTTACCGCGACCTCCGGGATGCTTGCGGTGCTTGCCGATACGGCCGTGACCGTGGCTCACATGACCACGCAGCTTCCTGGTCTTCTTCCGCTTGATATTCGACTGAAAAACAGAACAGAAACGTGTTTTCATTCACTATTCCTTACATTTTCCGCACACGTGCTGGAGGTTATGTTTACGTGCAGCATTCGCTCCAGCCGTTTTGCTCACTTTTACATTGCAGTTGGTGGGCAGGGGAACTGTGCCACTTTTGGCCAACTTTTCCTTTCATCTTGCATCGTTTACCTGCCCACAAACCTCATTTTAAGTGCACCACATTTACCGACGTCCACTCACCATCTTTAAAATTTTTGGAAAGAAAGAAGCGAAGTTGGCTGCGCTTCAGCCAGTGTAACCCCAGCTGAGTTTATAAATGTACCTAAATATGCCATTAGCGTAGGCTCAAACCATAGTGGAGAACATAGCAAAGTATTGGGTGCGTTCAGCAAAGCAACATTATCACTAATGGATTTAATATTCTTAAGAATTTTTGACGAGTACAATTCCAAAGGTCTTCGCGTGGAATTCACATTTAAGTTAAGAGTTTTGGAAATTTTGAAAGTAACAAATTTAAGTTAATTCGTGGTTTGCCACCGACCAATCTCGTTGTTTCGAAAGCTCCCGCGCAAAACGCACTGTGAATATAATAATTTGGTCATATGCACACGTCGTTCTACCAACACCAGTTTTAGAATAATTCCTGATTTAAATTTATATCATAAATAAAATCATGGTTTACGCCAAGAAACAGCTTGATTCATTTTTATTTTTAAGAATTATTCTGGAACTATTATTTTTAACGCGCCTTTTAAAATGTCCGTTACACGGAAAAGCAATTAAATAGTGTCAGTTATTTTTTATCAACTTTTCGTAAACAAGGTCCAAAATGTGTATTTTGACTAGATCTATTATACATGATAAAAGTTAAATTTGGGAAGAATTCACTTTAGTTGCAAAATTTGATCCAATTATTCATAATATATGTAAATACACATATCCTAAAATTTTAAGAAAGCTGGCATGTCGGGGTTTTTGGAAGTACACCCAAAATAAAAATTAACAACATTGCTTTGGCGTTTAGCTCTGGGAATCGTTTAAAACTTCAAGTCTGTTCAAGTTCAAAGTAGGTATTATTTAATATATAACATTTTAGATTTCCTCCACTAATCGAAAACGCTGATGCTGGTTTTCGGGTATAACATTAAAAAACTTCTTATAAATGGTTTGGTCCTGGCGACCGGCGTAGTTTCGCTGAATCCAGGTGTGATCCCAGTTGGGATCGATCGGTTCGCAGGTGACGTACACCTTGCCGTGCTCCATGGCGAAGAGGGTTCCATTGCGACCAAAGCCCACCTGACAAAGGGATTATAGAAAGAATTATTAGAGCACATCAAACTCCTCTGTTCGCTACTTACATTCAGACCCGGATGGAAGCGCGTAGTGAGCTGGGTAGCCAGTATGGTGCCCTCGGAGACATGGTGTCCATCCTGGACACGCCATCCTCGATGTTTTGGCCTGGCATGACCCTTCTTGTTCCGCGTACTGCCGCCGGTTTTCTTGCTGGCATTCCGAACAGTGGCTGAAAACGAAAACCATTAGATTCTATCACATATTATGGGCTAATCCTTACTCATCAGTGGCTGATCCGCTTTCAGGCACTGCAGGGTGAGCTTCTGCATTATATTAAATGACATTTTAAAGAATAAATATGATAACGAGGTTTGTTTATGCAATTCCTGAATATAAAGGCCAGTGTGGCCAGCAGAAGTGGAAATTAAGATCAACAAGAACTGCGCCTTAACAGCGCTGTTAAGTCTGCTCTAAAAAAATAATAGCTAAGTCGGCTATAGCTACTATTCAAATTTACCTGCACTTAATGTCCTTACTTGTATGTGAAAACACAAATGTATTCTTCTTAAAATGTATACTTTTGTAATAATTTAATTATGAGGTAATTTATCTTCAATTAAGGCATTTGTAACTTACAACAATTTGCTGCTGACAAGCCTGTAATATAAATATCTAGCTAGCAAATAGCCTGCGTGTCAACACTGATGTTAATGGCGATGTGGATTTTCAACCTTCGTCGGTAGAGCCACACTCGCTGGCGTCGAAAATTGTAATTGTTTTTTTTTTCCGGCATTAGCATTAAGTTTAAAGTTTAAAATTAGTATGACGACGTGGGGCAATATTTGCAGAATCTGCAGCAGCCCCGCAGACTATGAGATTTTTGCCAAGATTCCCATTTACTTGCATGGCTCCACAAACGAGTTTCTCAACTGGCAGAAGCCCATAAGCATTCTGCTTGAGGAGACGACGGGCCTGAAAGTAGTGTCTTGTATTGGGATATATATATATATCTAACTTTTTGACTTTCCTTAGAATTCCACGGACGACGGCCTGCCGCGCAACATATGTGCTCCGTGCATCTCGTATCTTAAGCATGCCGTCACATTCCGGGAGCAGTGCATCAAGAATGCCCTGAGTCTGAAGCTGGCGGAGCTCTACCAGCAGAAGAGGGTCAACATCTCTGATGCGAACAAGATTGACAAAGAGAGCGCCCTCTTTACGGCGGAGGATCTGCGCTTCGTGGAGCAGCGACCCGTGCACAATCTGCTCCTGAACAACAGCTCCAAGGTGGAAGCCTCCAAGGACAAGGTGCACAAACGGCTGCTCAACCAGACGGCTCCTCAACTGGACGGTGGCTCTGAGCACAGGATCCAGTACCTCAACGTACTGTTTAACAAGCAGCAACATCACAATACCTTGCCAAGGCATTCGCGGGATGCGGAACTGCCAACGAGCAGTGGCCAAAACGAAGACGAGGAATATGACTATGCCGTGGCCAGTTCCAGTGACGACAACGAGGAGGCCGCCCTGCTGCGCAAACACAAGAACTGCTACAACTACAGCGAGACCAACTTCGAGGAGGACGATCCCATGGAGCAGGACCAGCTGCAACTGCGTGATATCAAGGTCAACATACCCGAACCCATGTGGAAGGAGCGCAAATGCCCGGCATGCTCCAAACGTTTCATGTTTGAGGAGTCACAGCAGTCGCATCTGGACAACTGCGTTGAGTACCAGTTCGTCACTTTTGTGGCCGAGGTGACCAAACTGCTGGAGATTAGACGGCAGAAGATGGTTTCGCCACACGAGTTCATCCGCCGCATAATATTTGCCCTGCACAAAACCTGCACCTGGCTGCAGGAACATTCCATAGACTCGCTTCTGGCCGAGAAGCTTAATCAGGTTAAGGTTTCCAATGGCGAGAAGTCGGCCGAAGTGACAATTCCCTCTGAGATTCCCGATCCCCATCCGGTGGAGGAAACGCCGTTTGCCTTGTTCGACTTTGTTAGCGGCACCACGACTCCTATCACTGAGGAGAATAATGTGCTGTATGCCATTGCCCGCTCAGAGAGTCGCAATTCGCAGTGCACTCCCACGGTGAAGAAACCCATTCCGATTCGCGGAAAGGCCACGAGCTCATCACTGGGCCTGGGATTCGGCCCGGACAAGCACAAGGAGCGGGCTACGTTCCTGGAGAAACTGCAACGGGCTGTAGTCTCTCCCGGCACGGTCACAGCCCAGGGACAAGCCCCCATATTCTCAGCTCGTTGCGGGCTCTGCAATTTAGTATTTGACTCGGTCTCCGACCTGGAGGTCCACAATCACAATGCCCACAGGGGCACCGAACTGAATGCTGACGACGAAGCCAACCGTCGTCACATAATTGCCCTTTTCGAAGATGACATCTAAGTTTTCCAAAGACCTGTTTTGATGCATTGTGGCTGCATATATGTATGTTATTTAACCTATTTGTCTAACCAGCCACTTTGTGTCTCAGTTTTCGTCAAATTATGTTTATTTATTATTTTATTTTTATTTATTTTATTTTGTTTACTCAAGCTTAGCCTTAATCCATGTTCTTTCGATTTTACAAGTACTCAAAGCCCATGGCTTGATTTTTATATGTACACTCAAACCAATAAAGAGATTCGCAGGACTTATCCTTAATCGTAGACTATGCGTATATATTCAAGCTATCCAATAGCAGTTTGGAGTCCAATATGTTTAGGAGCAGAAAATTCTTGAGCAACCGTATCAAGTCACTGTGGAGTTGGGAAGATCGCAAGGCGAAGAGCTGATTTAGGGCGTTTATAAAGTTTTGGGGGTCTGCCAATCTGCCGATTAGTTTTGGATCACCTAGGGCCATTAGATTAGCCATCACACGCACTCCGTAAATAAGGCCAAGACTGTCGACTGGAGTCGATAGCGTCTCCTCAAAGAAATGCAAAAGGCATTCGGCTTGTTGGGCACCTAGTTCATGATCCTGTCCAACAATGTCCAGTTGGTGTACTATGTACATGAAGTACTTGCTGCCTGAATCCTTGGGGTTTTTACTGTGCAAGTTATCTGCTATGTACCTTCGATCTTCAGCGCTCACATGGTGCAAGCAGTGAGTGGCGATTAGGAACAGGCAGGTGCCTGCGTCTTCTTGACAACCACTGGAATCGTTGAACAGCCTCCAACATTTGGGTACAAGTTGCATTTGCAGCAATATCTTGCCAGCCTTGTCACAGGTGGCCAGAATGTTGGCCAGGGTCCACAGGCAGCTACGCTTTAGGCGCTCCTCCTTACCATCCAAATAGGTAACCATGTAGCTCCCCGCCAAACTGGCAATCTTCTCGGAGACATGGGCCTCGCCTAGGGAAAGATTACATAGGCACTCGACGGCATTAATCTGTTGTTGAATGTGGGGTCCTGAAAAGCAATTTTTTCATAAGATAACAATACAACTCCAGGGCGATCCGATGCATACCAGTGAGTTCTTTAACCAGAACCTGAATGGCGCCAGGAATGGCAGCAAAAGCGTTGATGTTGTCGTTGCCCTGAAGGAAGGCCAGGGAAAGGCGGCACAGGTCCTCAGAGGTGGCGTGTTTGCGTCGTTTGATCCTGCCGGCCAGACCAATAACGTCCTTGGTGTCCAGGCTCTCTAATGCAGCCACTTCCTTCTTAACCTGTCCTAGGCCAATGCGCAATGAGTCCTTTGCCTTGGCACGGCATTCCAAACGCTGATCCCGTGCATTTTCCCGAATCTTGCTTCGAAGGATGGTATTCTCTAAAGGAGAAGTCGGATTGGAAGCCATTTATTGAAAAGATTCCTTTGCACAAAAGAATTAATTCCAAAATCGTAAGGTCTGGTATATCGATATCAATAACATTTAACATCACTCTATGATAACCACAGGGTGGCTAATGCATTTCTGGCTTTGCTCAGCTGTAAAACTTGTAAACAAAATAATTAGGTGAAAATAATTTGTTTTGTTTTTTTATCATTGACGTTATGTGTTGTGTATTAAATTTTAGGACAATGAAGACCGTGTGTCGTATTTGTAATCTTAATCGAGGATTCATGATAAACATATTCGATGGGACGTCAAAAGATGTTGTTTCAATTGTGGATGTGGTGTCCAATTATACTGGCTTAGAAATTAAACGAGGAGATTTATTTTCTGAAACCATTTGCGGTCTGTGTCTGGAGGATGCGCGGAATTCATATGGAATACAATTTGGCAGCAAGGAAAATGACCCGCTCTATATTAAGGAACAAGTCTTTGAAATCAAAGAATTGCACGTAAAGGAAGAGCTTTTTGAAGAGGATCTAACGGAGGAAGTCCATGTAATTTCAGCCTACCAAGTGAAAAATAAGGTTCTCGAGAACGATTTACTAGAGGAGGAAGTGCGCGAAATACCAAACGATTTACTAGAGGAGGAAGTGCGCGAAATACCAAACTGCGAGAGGGAAGGATCAAATAGTAAAGAGATAACTAATTTCCCAGTAAAAAAAGAAATATTCGAATGGGAGGAATCGAATATAGACAGGACCCAACTGTTCCGTGTTCAAATAAAGAACGAGCCAATTGAAGATGAGCTTTCTGAAAAAGAATCGTCTAGTGATAATGATCTACCAAGCTGCCAAGTAAAAAACGAACCAATTGAAGATATCCCATTCGAGGAAGAAGTCTTTGCGAATACAGAGGAACAGCCAAGTGTCCCAAAGTCTTGTTTGTCTAAATCAGATTTTCAGAAGAGCACAAGAAATAACAAAAAACTTTTCAAATGCGGTCTTTGCGCGGTGTTTTTTTCAACACAAACTGCTCTGGAGTCACACGCCCGGACTCATGAGGATCGACCGAACAGCTGTTGTCATTGCCCCAAGTATTTTCCGGAGGAGTCCCTACTGAAGGAGCACATTCTGACCCACAGGCGACCGCACAAGTGCTGCCACTGCCCGAAGTCCTTTCTATCGGCCTATGATCTCAAGCGACACACGAGGATCCACACCGGCGAACGACCGTATAGCTGTGACCAGTGTCCGAAATCATTTTCGGATAAGACTTCTTTAACATCGCACATAAGGACTCACAAGGGAGAGCGGCCCTACAAGTGCTCCGAATGCCCCATGTCCTTTACGCAGCAATGCAATCTTCAGAGACACATACGCTGCCACACGGGAGAAAGACCCTTTAAGTGTCTATACTGCTCCAAGACCTTTACGCAACAGTCGAATCTGGGCTTGCACATGCGGGCTCACTCTGGAGAACGGTTCGATTGCTCCCTCTGCTCCAAGTCCTTTGCCTATAATAACGATCTGAAACGACACATACGAATTCATACTGAGGAAAGACTCCAGTGTTCCCTATGTCCAAAGTTGTTTGCAACCAAGTGGAGTCTTAAGAAACACTTTCATTCCCACAGTGAAGAAGTTCTTTCCACATAAGAATGACTGCACTTATGTAAAAATAATTGTATAACAAGTTATTACTAGAAAAATAACATTTGAAGAAATAGAAATTGTTATTAAGATATTTAAAGTGGCAGAAAACAAAAAAATTATTGTTTTTTCTGAGTTTGGACAATAAGAATAAATAAATAAAGTTAATTTATATTTGAAATATGTCTTAAAGCTATTGATAAATATATTTTTCTGAAAAATAATTTAAATACTTTATTTCGATAATAAATCGATTGTGGTGCAAAACACAGGGTGGCTAGTGTCATGTGCACTTTATAAATAAACTGTTTGTCGGAGGTTTCGTTTTTTTTTTATAAAAAACAAATGAGCAGGTAAGTTAGAAAATGGCAGTGATTTTTTTTTATTACTGATCTTTGCGGTTTGTAGGAGACATGGAGCAAATCTGTCGTGTTTGCCTGGGAAGATCCGAGGGGTTGATTAACATCTTTGATGCCAGGCGAAAGACCAGAGTTTCAATCGCCGAGATGATCGAGCAATGTACTGGCTTTAACGTAAGGCGAGGTGATCGTTTTCCGGAAACCATTTGCCCGGCTTGTTCGGAGGATGCCAAGAAGGCATTTTCTTTAAGACAGACCTGCGAGAGGAGTCACCAGTTCTACTGCCAAGTCCGGGATGAAGGTATTGAGGAGGCTCTATGCACTTTGTTAGAAGAAGAGGATTGGGAGTTTTCGGAAGATGAAGACAAGTGGAATGCACCTGTCACCGATGATGATGATATTGAAGGTGATGACAATAAGGAGGTCGACACGTTGGCTACATTTGAATGTCGAGACTGTTCGAAGAGGTACAAGTCAAAGGGCGCCTGGTTGAGGCACATGAGAACCCACTTGAATGGAGAATCCTTTCCTTGCCAGTTCTGTTCAAAGAACTTTAGATTTAAGGCTACTCTTAAGGCGCACATAAGAAGCCATAACGCAGAAAAGCCCTATGAGTGTTCCCACTGCTCGAAGTCTTTTGCTCAGCAGTCCACTCTGCAATCGCACGAAAGGACGCACACTGGCGAACGTCCCTTCAAGTGCTCCCAGTGCGCCAAGACCTTCATTAAATCATCTGATCTTAAGCGACATATTCGCACACATGGAGGGCAACGACCGTACAAGTGCACCAAGTGCTCGAAAACCTTCACGAGAAAATTTCATCTGGAAAACCATCTTCGTTCCCACACGGGTGAACGACCCTTTCAGTGTTCCCAGTGTTCAAAGACCTTTGCTTTAAAGCAGCATCTCAAAGAACACGTTCGCATTCATTCGGGGGAACGTCCTTTTCAGTGTTCTCAGTGTTCCAAGTCCTTTGGAACCAGGACCACCCTACGAGAACACAAGCTGGTGCACAGTGAGGAGAGGTCCTTTAAGTGCCCCCACTGTTCTAGTTCCTTTAAGCAAAGAAGAACTCTTGGAAGACATATCCTCCAGCGTCATGAATAAGAATCAGTTTAAACCGAAGATGATAAATTTTTGTAGATCAACTTAATTTTAGTTTTTAAAATACACAGTTTTGTATTCGTAAGTAATAATAGGATTTAAAGACGAACTTTTTAAATACATATATACATTTTTAAAATTTGTACTTTGTAAGTGTTTTGATAACTTATTTTTTTTTTATTGTTAATTTAAACCTGGATTTTCGTTCTCACGCTGTCATCACTGGCGGTTGCTCGCATTTCTATTGCCCAGCTGTTCAGCTACCAGCTGATGAATGTTTGGGTGGAATCGGCCTACGGAATTCTAGCAAAACAAAGCCACGGAAAAGCGGAGTAAGATGAACAATGATAACCCAAATATAGTTTTCAATCCCCTGATAAGCTGCATCCAGAAGGTGGTGCTCTATGAGACGCGAGCGGTGAGTAATCCCCGCCAGCAGAATTGTCCTGTGACTAATCTTGTGCTATTCAGCGCCTGTATTTGGTGGGCAGCAACAACCGGGAGACGCGGTTTCGTTTGCTAACCATCGACCGACTGGCCCACAACCGGCTGAGTATCGAGGAGAATGCCAATGAATTCAACAGCCTTGAGATCCGGCGCTTTGTGGCCTCCCTCACGGGTTCGCCCAAGGTAACATCCGCCTACGGAGTCCTGGGATTCGTGCGCTTTCTCGAGGGCTATTACTTGCTACTGGTGACCAAACGCAAATGCTGCGCCCACATAGGTCGTCATCTGGTCTACACCATCAAGGACACGGTGATGGTGCGCGTGAACGAGGTCACCTCGCAGCGTCCACCGCACCCGCACGAGGATCGTTACAAGCGGATGTTCCAGAACATCGACCTGCGCAGCAACTTTTATTTTTCCTACTCTTATGATCTGACCCGAACGCTGCAGTATAATGAGTCGGCGCCGCGATTCGTGGGCGCCAAGGTGGACTTGGATCGCGACGAACCCCTGCCCGACTGGAACAAGCTAACTAACAACGTGGCCAAGGCCCATGAGCGAGTGGATTACGCCTTTCGTAGCGATTCCCGCAAACGATTCGTGTGGAACGCCTACCTGCTGCAGCCCATGGAAGGTATCATGTTAAAGGATTGGCTTCTGGAGATCACGCACGGCTTTGTCAGCCAATCTTGCATTAGCATCTTTGGGCGCCACGTTAACGTCTGCCTGGTAGCCCGACGAAGTTCACGATTTGCAGGGACACGGTTCCTTAAGCGCGGAGCCAACTTTCAGGGTGACGTGGCCAACGAGGTGGAGACGGAGCAAATTGTCAGCGATGGGCAAAGGATGTGCGCGTTCACCCAGATGCGGGGCTCTATACCGTCGCACTGGTCTCAAGATATCAGTAAGATGGTGCCCAAGCCGCAGATTCAGCTGGATATATTTGATCCATATGCACAGACCCCGTCGCTCCATTTCGAACGCCTGCTATTTCACTATGGTGCCCCGCTTATCATGCTCAATCTGGTGAAGAAGCGGGAGCGCCGTAAGCACGAGTCGATTATCTCCAAGGAGCTGGAGTACAGTATTCGCTATCTCAACCAGTTCCTGCCGCCGGCCCACCGGATGAAACACATCCACTTTGATATGGCGCGGCAGAGTCGACTCAGTGGCGGCAACGTCATGGAGCAACTCGCCATACACGCGGAGAGCATTGTCCAGATGACGGGAATGTTCTTCAAGGCGGCGGGCAGTGATCCGGGCTTGCAGACTGGGATCGTGCGCACCAACTGTGTGGACTGCCTGGATCGCACCAATTCTGCGCAGTTTGCAATTGGAAAATGTGCTTTGGGACATCAACTGGAGCGTTTGGGTTTTGTTAAATCCGCCAAGCTGGAGTTCGACTCGGATTGCGTGACAATGCTCGAAAACCTTTATGAGGAGCACGGGGACACACTAGCCCTGCAGTACGGCGGCTCGCAACTGGTCCACAGGATCAAGACCTACCGAAAGACGGCTCCATGGGGCTCTCAGGGCAGCGATGTGATGCAGACCCTTAGCCGCTACTACAGCAACACATTCAGCGATACCGAAAAGCAGCACAGCATTAATATTTTTTTGGGCATTTACAAGCCCAGTCTAACAAAGCGTGAGTGTTGATCCCCTTTTAAACTTTTATAGTATTATAATAATTTTTCTCTTAGAGGGCCAACCCATCTGGGAGCTCCAGACGGACTACGATATGCACAACGCCTTCGTGCCCAGAACGAACAGCAAACCCCTCACCGACTGGGTGCGCCACAAGGTCCGCGAATGCCTGCCCCAATCGTGTGCCGACTCCAACAAATTGGTCAGGGAGCTGTTTCGTGTGCACAGCAGCGGCCTGGAAATGATCGATGCCTACTCCAACTACCACCAGTCGTTTAAGTGGACTGACCTCAGCGAGCACATCTCTTTCGAAATCAGTCAACTGGCACTGCGATATATGCCCACATTCCGAACGAATTACAGTCCATTCCAGCGGCAGATCCAGACCTCGCGAAAGGCCCGTCAGAATCCCTCGATGACCGGGCAGAGTTCAACGGGATCCATGAACAGTAACTCCTCCAGTTCCAGCGAGGGCGATGACAGCTCCAGCGATGAGGAATTGAGTGCAAGCTTTGCCGAAAAGGAGGCCAACCAGACGGAATCGGCGGAGCCGGCCGCCTTCACTCTGGCTTCCGGACTGCCGTCGATGGAGGAAATTTACGGGGTCACCATCAGTCCGCCCTCCAAGCAGAGTATGGCAGTATACAAAAAGTACGTCCAGATGGGCAAGCTGTCCAGCGGGGGCACTAGACCCGCCCAGACAGCCGTAGCTCAGCGGGATCAGGAACTGGCGAAGATCATGAGAGGCATAACGCTGCGCCCCCTTAGTGACTATGGCACTGACTCCTATCTCAGCGTGCGTCCGCCAGTCGTCCCTCGCAAGAGTCAGCTCATCTATGCCGAGTACTGCCGCTCTAGGAGCACCTTCAACGCCGTGCCCAAGCTAGAAGAATTCGATGTACTCTATCAATATGTGCAAAAGCTATAGATTATTGTCATAGATATTTATTGTCACCAGATATTTTGTTTGTTGTTCACAACATGTGTTACAGATATTATTAAACATTATAATATAAAACAAGAATGGAGTACCCGAAAATTGGTGGCAGAGTATCAAGTTGGTAGCTTTTAAGCTAAACTCACAAGCGAAAATAGCCATAACAACTTGCCTGGCGATGCTGGTCAAAATGACAATACCCTCTGGAAGGGTATAATAAAATACGTTTTGACAAAGAAAATCATATATTTCCAGAGCTCCAAGACTTTAGTTATTGTAAAATTATGTATTTTTTATTATTATTTGAATTTTGATCTCAAAAGATATATAGAAATGAACAAAAGATAGAAAAAAACATTTTTATCCATCGACTCGTACTACAATTTATTTAAATACTTTAATTTCTGCTGGTAACTTACAAAAATGATTCGTTAAAAATACTCAAAAGGGCTATTGCTGGAGAAGGTTTCCAGGTAACAGCTATTGGCCACTCTGTCCACCTGCCTCCCCGTGGGGCTTTGAGTGATAATGCTCCGCGGTGGAGGAGGCGTGCATGGCATTGTACCCGGACTTCTGTCCGAGATGGAGCATGTGGCTGTTGGTCGGCTTGTACACAGTGGCTAGTTCCTGGGCCAACATGAACTGCTCCTGCTCCGGAAAGTCGTGTTCGCAGTGGTGTTCGCCGCAGATCTTGCACTCGTAGATGTTTGGTCTCAGCGTGTTCCGTATGCGCTGGATAAGGAGGTTCATATAACTATACCATTAATAAAAGGCCAGCTCCAACTTACTTCCCAAAAGGTGTCACCACTGGACCGCAGGAAGTTGATCACCGCATAGCCTGGGATGCAGATCAGCGAGAAGGAGGCGAACATCCATCCTATTCCATAGGCCCAGTCCGGATATGTATAGCGTCCATTGTGGTAGGTGGGCTCGTGGTAGTTAATCAGGCTCAGCACCCAGATGGCCTGGAATTATGCAATCCCATTCTTAAGATTATGATTTAAAGTAGAAAAACCTAGAGATCACTTACGAAAAGGAGACAGGGTCCCAGGACGAGCCAGCATGACCTGAGATATAGCGAAGGCGCCTTTCCGGTCATCTGCTTGACGTTCTTCGACAGTCTTCCGGTGCCGTAGAACCAGGCAATGGCGATCATTTGGCAGAAGGCCAGGAACATGATCGTTACGGAGGCGGCATAGTGATCCATCAGCTGGAAGTAGTAGATGCCGCCTTGGATGATATTTGGCATTCCGAACAGACAAGAGATGACGCAGACGAACAGGACCACGATTTCGTGATAGCCCAAATGGCGCTTGATCCATCGCGGGAACCCATCTTGTATGGACGTCACCACCACCTCCACGATGGCAAACTGTGAGTTGAGACCCAGGCAGAGGAGCATGAAGAAGAACATGACCGCCCAGAGCTGAGCATACGGCATCTTGGCCATCGCCTGCGGATACACCACGAAGATCATGCCCGGTCCATCGCCGATGACGTCTCGCACATTGGTGTTCTGCTCCAGCGCCAGGTTTCCAAGCGTGGAGAAGGCAAAGATGCCCACCAGCAAGCTAGTGATCATATTCACCGCACTCACCGCCACCGTATCTCGCAGGATATTATTGTTGTACTTGTTGTAGCTGGCAAAGGAGATCATGGATCCAAAGGTGATGCCCAGTGAGTTGAAATTCTGCGAGGCGGCATTGATCCACACGTTGGCGTTCTTCAGCTCCGACCACTTGGGCCGGAAGAAGAAGCGCAAACCCTCGGCTGCTCCGTCCAGGGTCACCGCCCGCACCATCAGGATGATGATTAGCACGAACGGAAAGGTGGCCGTGAAGTAGCGCACCTTTGCCGACGACTTGATCGACTTCCACGTGGCGAAGTAGACCATCAGCCAGGCGCAGATCAGGCAGGCGAATAGCTCCCAGCGCATCATGCCCGGATATTCCAGACCACCGCTTATCTGAAGCACCTTGTTTCTGGATAAGAAGAGTATTGACAAAGATTTCAATATACCAGTTTTGTTTAAAGGCTTACAAAGATTCCTCAAAAGAAAATTTGTA